GGATTTATTTGGAATTCTTTAGAATCCATTGAAAAACTTGGGAAATTCCGGGGTGAACTTCGGAAGAATTCTGACGAGAATTCTGGTCTACAATCAACTGGAATTCCCAGTGGAATTCCTTGCATTTCTCTGGAGTTCCCTGGATTTCTTTGGAATTACATTGAAAACAACTGGAATTCCTAAGATTTCCTGGTTGACTTGTTTTGTGTAATTGTGTACACAAAATATTGAAAAAAATTGAGATGTACTCCAATTGGTAGGTAGATACGAGGTTATATAGATGTGAATATTCAAAAATTACATCCGAAATACTCGAAGATTGGATATGTCAGGACATGTAAGTCAACGTATCTAAACGAGATAGAAAAAATCTTGATGTATGGTTAAATATCGATCTGGATGACGATGAAAGATTTGTCAATGAAGGTGGGTAAAAATAGTATATTATGTAACAAGTGTTATAAACGTCCTTTTAGGACTGACACGACTGAAGGTGTGTTCAATAAACTAGGTTGTCATGGTAATATGTTCAAGAAATTGTGTTGCCAAGGTAACGTGTTTATTTTTTTGAATAAATCATAGAAAGTAAATCCATGATTAATCGATCATGTATGCTGAATGCCATTTTAGTTGTGAGTAGAAGAATTAAATTAATCAATCTTGGCGACACGATGTTAATTTAGAAAATCACTTGTTGCTTTGAAACAACAAGCAACGTTAATTATTGTTGATCATAATGCAATAAAAATATTCATTGCCGACAATCTGCGTAATTAGATTAAACGTCAATTGGAATCAGACTAATGTAATTTTTCACTTGAACCTTGACCGGAACAATAATTCAAATTGTTTGTTTGGAACTGGGTTTGGAAGTTTAGAATGACTTCTGCAAACAGTTGTTTCATTTAGAAATTAATCAAAAGGTCCATAACCGTCCATAATGTCGTTAGTGACATGGATCCAAAGCAAGTTCCTTATCAGATGTTCTAGACTACCTACGTTCACTAGGTATTCAACTTCAACTATTTGAAGAGTTCATTGGTTGAATGGGTAAATAGACTTATCAGAGTATTCATATCTATTTAAGGAATATAATATGTTTATAGTAAGTATGATAACATCATATTATTCATATTATATATTCTTATCTTTTTCTGTTTCAAAACAGGGTATTCCCTAAGGTATCTACATGTTCACTTACAGGTAGGTAAGTAGGTAGATAACGTGGTAGGTACAGATCCAAAAGAAAATCTGATAAATTAATGAAATACATAACAATTTTTATACATGTGATGCAATCGGATGCAATTCTAGAGGCAATTCTCAACATTCACCACCCTCACTCGTCAGAGACATAAAATGTCTAAAATTTCAAAGAAAAAACTATTCAAAAGCAAAGATCGAAAGTGTTCAATTATTTCTGAGTTTATTATTGAGTAAATAGCAACAATATAAATAAATACATACCTGCCTATGATTGATATCAATCATCAACACTACATAGGAATTGGATAAGAGTTTAGCAAATTTTTCCATTTCCTCCTAGAGAACCCTTCTTCCCTATTTCTTCCCGGCGTCGGGAGTTTAGCCAGAACCTCTACATTAATTATTTCAAGTAGGTATTTGTGCTACCAAAAATAGCAATGCAACTTGTCATCGTCATAAAATACATCCTTTCCCTGTCTTTACCTTTCGGAAACATTTATTTTAGATGATTCATAAACAAGGGAAACCCTAACTACATTCCTCAACCATCACAACGGTCTACAATAGATTCATGAAAACATTGAACAACTCGACGTGATTCAATACAAGAGAATACGAAGAAGTCGGTCTACTTTGTTAATAATAAAGAATCAGAACATAAATTACCTTGAAACTGGATAATAATCCGAATTAACAACGCAAAACATACACCCACTCACTAACCAGGCTCGAACACAACTGAAAAGAATTTGTTGAATGTTGAATGACTCAAGATGGCGCAAAAATCGTCGAAAACAATTCCTTTTTCACTGCGTATATGCAACCAGGATTGCGAATCTTAACGGTGACTGCCTAACTGCCCAAAAATTACACAGAAAAAAATCTCAGTGTTTTTCTCTTCATCCGTCTTGAACCATACAGGGTGTCCCTAAAACGTCTGTACAAAGTCAAAGGTCAAAATGAGCCGATTCAAAGCAACTTACCGAAATCACTCCATTTCCGAGATATAGGGTGGTAAAGTTGAAGAATAAAAATCGAATTTTCTCAGAGTTTATTGACATTTTTGAACGCGTCGTTACTTCAAAAATTCATATCCAGGAGTTTTTTGGCATGCGTAACACGAATACGGACATTTTTTCATTGTGGCCATTATAACAGGGTGTTTCAAAATTCAGTATCAAGATTTTAGGGGCGTATTTTTCAGGTCAAAATAAGACGTTTTTGTCCATAAACATGTGTCCGCAAACGCTTCGTTATCGATCTACAGAGCGTTAAAGTTTCAAGATTTTTTTATTTTTTTCTTCATAGCTCTTTCAATTTTTGAGATATTAAGATCAAATTTGGAATGTAGGTTACGTTCTAGGGCTTACATCATCCAATGCCGAGTGATTGTGAGAAGCAACAGGGAGATATTTTTTTCAGGGGTCAAGCCCTTTTTTACCCCATAAACTTTTTTGTGGTGCGCCGCTGGTGAATTCTGAGATACGAAATGAATTCTTTGTTTTGTTTATAAATTTTTTTGTCTCTTGTAATTTTCACGCATCTGCGATCGTTATCGAGAAAAAAGTAAAATCAATTTTTGTGATTCGCTACATTTAATTAAAATTTTCAACGGAACAATGAAAAAGCGAATTAGTGGGCTTTGACTGCTATTTTCATTTTGACGTTTAGGTTTGTTTTGTAGCATTTGACATTATTTGAAAGTTGGTGGATGTCTCATCGTGTATTTGTTTAACTTTAACGCTCTGTAGATCGGTAACGAAGCGTTTGCGGACACATGTTTATGGACAAAAACGTCTTATTTTGACCTGAAAAATACGCCCCTAAAATCTTGATACTGAATTTTGAAACACCCTGTATAGAGGGCGCCTACAAATAGACTTCTTATGGTTTTGATGGGCCATAACTTTTTTCTAAGTGTAGTTTCTTACTTAAGTCTTTGTAAAAATCCGCTAAAGTAAGCCGATTTCGAGATATTTCTACGCAGAACCGAAACATTTATATTATTTCGAATAAAAAATGTTTGCTGTTATCTTCGTGGATGTAATTTGGTCAGTGAATAGGCAGTGCAAAAATGGATTTTTCAAAATACTTTCTTATTGGACTTGTCGATTTTTAATGTTCATCTTCACCACCTGGTATCTCGAAAATATGGAGCAATTTCGGAATGAGGCACAGATTAACAAACCTCAGTTAATCTGTGACTGAGGTGAGTTCTTTTAAATCGGCTTATTTTGACCTCAGGAATATGTGCTCAGATTTTGCAAAGACCTTTTAGCGACACCCTGTATATTTGTCTCAAAATGTCACTACCATAAACAAAAATTCATTATTGGAAACTTAAAAGAGGAATTTCTTAGGGATAGTCGGTAGAACTTTGCTTGGAAGAATATTTGGAGAAAAATTGAAGGAATATTGAAAAATATCAAATTTTTACTTGGGAATGAATCTGCTCCAGTTTTCAACATAAATTGCAGATAGTCTTTTGACAATTGACACTTTTTCTCTGACAAAAAATGTGTAGAACAGGGTATTGTATCAAATTGATCTTAAATTTACCAGATTTTCATATTCAGATTTGACAACCTATATACAGGGTGATCCACGGTGGATGTCCTATTAGAAGTATATCTGGAGAACGAAATGACAGAACATTCTGAAAATTGGGATACTTTGATAATTGAACATTCTCTATCAGTCTAAATTATTTTCATCGATACAGTGTTGCCACTTTTATCAGAAACAACTAGCAACTTTGTTATTTCAAATGGAACACCCTGTATTTCATTGCATTTTTATATTGTTCCTAAAAAGCTGATTGCATCAATGTATCACACTTGGGGTCTAGCAGAAATGATTACAGAGATATAGGGTGTTCAAAATCGAGATTTTTCAATTTTAGGATTTTTTTGTGTCGAAACTATTCATTATCGATCAAAATGTCCCTATCTTAACTTTCGATCCACTATCTACTGGAATTTAATTGGAAAAAATACAGCAGGGTGCTTCAAGATTTTGAATTCTGATCACCCTGTATCTGTTCCAAATGAATGTCAGTAGATAGTCAATCGAAAGTTAAGACATGGACATGTAAGCCGTTTTGATCGATAATGAATAGTTTCGACACAAATCCTAAAATTGAAAAATCTCGATTTTGAACACCCTATATCTCTGTAATCATTCCTGCTAGACCCCAAGTGTGATACATTGATGGAATCAGCTTTTCAGGAAAATCCTAAAAATGCAATAGAATACAGGGTGCTCAATTTAAAATAACGAAGTTACTAGTTGTTTCTGATGGAAGTGGCAACACTGTATCGATGAAAATATTTTACACGGATAGAAAATGTTCAATTATAAGAGCATCCCAATTTTCAGAATGTTCTGTTTTTTTATTCTTCAGATACTTCTAATATGCCATCCACCGTGGATCACCCTGTATGTATATAGTTTGCGAATTGTGCTGTTTTCAAATTTATTTTTAATCATCCAGTACAGAAAGAAAACCAGGATATCTTGAATTTATTCTTGGAATATCTAGACAAAAAAGTAGCTATTGCACTCTCCTTTTGTTTTCATGGAATAGCAAGTTTAGTTAAACATTTCACAATAAACAATTATAGGAATGAACGTTTTACCAGTTGGGAAATACAAAGTAGGTATCAAAGTTCATATAATAGTTTTCTACAAAAATTGTTTGAACTTTATTGGAAACGGTACCATCGAAGGTCACAGTTTGTATATTTTGAAATTTTATAATTGTAGAAATGAGTAGACTGAGAATAAAGAATAAATTAGTTATTATAAAGTTTTATTTGCATGATGTAACATTCTTAGTCTTTAAGGCACATTTCACATGTTTATAATATATAATTCACCTAAACTCTATGGTATATGCAAGTATACAATATTAATAATATGAAGACATTGAGAAACCGAAATTTTCAACGAAATGAAGCATACATCAGAATATGAAAAAAAAATGATGAAGACATTACATATTTGTTACAAACGATAATAAATTACATTATTAAAATTAATATCAAATCAAAGTAATAAACTGTGTTCATGTGGAAACGATCCACCATGAAGAACTTTCGAAAGTATAATTTTCAATAACATTTTGAAAATACGATGAAAATCATGAACAGCCTAAATAGGGAAAACACACATGTGTCCTATTTCATTTATTTTCTGAAGTGTTTTTGCATTTTTCCTGGAAATCATTATTTCAAAAGTTATTCACAGCAATTCGGTTTCAAATAAACACACTGTATACATTATATGATGACTCATCTGGGGACGATAGTATCATGATTTCATCTAGTTTTGAAATTCACCATATTATTTCCTAATATGTAAAAATTGGTAAAAAACGATGATTATATACCTGATAACAAGGAACCATATTAAAAATGGGATTCCTTTAATATAAACGTTGAACGCCAGCTCTTGAGAATAGATTATAATTCAAAATTAATTATTTTGATTGTTCTAGTATGAAAGACAATATGGAAAAAAAATTAATCAATTTTTCATTTACATTTCAATGCTAATATCACCAAAGTAGGTATGTATATTTGTCCTCTTTATAAATCACTTATAAACTATATCAATAAATAATTGACCAAACAATATAGATTGTTAGACAACAAAAAACAAATTCTGAAAATAAAAAATCTGAAAAACAAAAACAATGTTGGGTAAAATATTAAAAACAACTTTTAAAATAATATAAGTTACCTATGAAACTGATGCTGATTCTCAACAAATTAATGAAATATACCCTTGGGATTAATGTTCAAAACGCTGGATTATATTATTTACAATAATTCACACTAACTGAATTCAAACTAAAAATTTTTTCAGAGACTGTGAAGAGGTATGAAGTTTTTTCGATAGTTGAGATGATATCTGAAACAAACAAAACATAAGTATAAGTTATTTTTGGTCACCCTTTAACAATAATGCAAAATTACGTGGATAGAAGTTTTAAAACAGACAATGACTGTTCAATTTGATCCTAATTTTGACGTAGAAATCATAATCTACGACCTCGAAAACCTCCATATAAAAATTTTGAATAGAATCGGATTATAATTACAAAACTCGTCCGCCATATTGGATCCTCTATCTTGAATTTCCTCAATTTGACTAAGAGATCATAATATCTGATCCTGACAACCCCAGATACCAATTTTGAACAGAATCGGATCATAATTACAAAACTTGTCCACCATATTGGATCCGCCATCTTTAATTTCCTAATTTTGACGAAGAAATCATAATCTCCGACCCCGAAAACCTCAATATACAAATTTTGAATAGAATCGGATTATCATTACAAAACTCGTCCACCATATTGGATCCTCCATCTTGAATTTCCTCATTTTGCACCTACTTGTCTAATGTATGTACGCTGGTAATGCTGTTCAGAAAATTGGATATCATGACCCTCCAGTCACTTTATATTTGGAATACTGTGACTGAAATTCATAAAAATGTTTCTTCCATGACTTCACAATCAGATATACATAATTTTAACACCAGAGGATCGTTTAGTATACGTGTCTCCAGATATGGGCTCACAAAATCTCAAAAAAACTCTTTGAATTATACTCTCTTCAACATTCTCCCGATAGAAGTCAGAAATTTGAATACATTTTATTTCAAAAAAACAATGAAAGTATTTCTGCTCGAAAATTCCTTCTATTCCATCGAAGAATATGTGGAATGTGTGAAGAAAGGTATACTCACTGAATCACAGAAAATCAACTTCATTGATGCCTGATTTGTACCAATTTTATTTTATTGACCTTTTAATTACTTGATAAATGTATGATTTTTTATATACACTTAAATTGATTACTGTGATTTTTCCATTTTCCATTTTATATATACACTTTTTTGTAATTGTGACTTGTCGTAAATGTATTGTATACATATCATGACCAATAAATCTATCTATCTAATACGGTGAATAAATGAATTGAATTGAACTAAAACGTCCAACACCAATGAACTCAATATAAACACCTGAAAGGGAGACGGCCGTTCTCTCGATTAGCACAAAGTGTGTCAGGGGCAGCTGCAACAAAGATAGCTTGTTTTGCGGCAACCTGTCTCTTTCCTACTCGTGTTGTTCAATGGTGGATTGGTGTTAACGTTTTCTTTTATCTAATAATTCAAGAACTTTAGATTTTTTCTCTCATCTAAACAGGCAAGATAGTGAGGACATAAGTTCATTGTTTTTGGTTATGTGAAATATCTATACATTTGGCGTGTTTTGTTTTATCAAAAGGACTGAATTTGGTGGTGTGAACACTGTGAACTGATTGATGAGAGGGTTTGTGATTTCATATTGATAAACAATGGTGATTTATTGCGTCGCCTTTGGATGCAAGAAGAAGAAGATGCAAAAGGAAATTGTCATTCCATGAGTAAGTTGAATATTGTTCAGATTTTTGGTAAATATAGTTCTTGAAATGATCGTCAGTTATTTATACAATGTTCCCAGTCTCAGAATATGTTCAAAAACTATACCTACATTATTTGTCAAAGTTGAATACTTTTCCATAAACATATTAATCAATATTATTTGTTGCAGTTTTCCATTCAAAAGACCATACATTCTAGAATTATTATGGATTGAGGCAGTTCATAGAGATAATTGGGCTCCATCTAAAACCAGCAACTTTGGTGGAGAGCATTTCCTTCCAACTGATTATTTACTTTAGACATACCAGGTACTACTAGGTTATTGAAACCAGGTGACGTATCTAGTATATTTTCATTTCCTAAGCATTTGTTACCAAAAAATGCTGATCCTCGCAGAAAAATGAGAAAACTAGGAAAATAAGAAAACTCGTATAAATAAAAAACTAGCTACTAATTAATTTTCAGGATGCATCTGTGGACGTTCATAACTTGGTTCCTAAGAAAGATGTTTCTCATGTTATGATGACTTTGATTTGCCTCCGACTTCCAGCTCCCAAGTTTCGGAGTTCATCAATAAAAAACCCAAATTGTTCCATTCGAGAAGGATATTGTATTAAGAATTGTATTTTTTAAATTTCTAATAAAATAGGAACTTATGGAAATTATGTTCAAAATGGACCCATATTGGTTACTCAATACCATTCAAGAACCTCTTTTCAAATGTTTCCTATCGTTTTTCTTCTTCTTCTGATAGTGCCGAGACATTGTGCTTCTCTCACCCTGTACAATATATTGTGAAATTTGAATTGAATAAAAATATATAATTTCAATTTTGTATTCATTTGATTTCCTAATTCTGTAAGAATAAAAGCGAAATTTCATTTTCAAGTCAATAAAAAAATCAATAATAAAATAGGAACTTATGGAAATTATGTTCAAAATGGACCCTTATTGGTTACTCAATACCATTCAAGAACATCTTTTCAAATGTTTCCTATCGTTTTTCTTCTTCTTCTGATAGTGCCGAGACATTGTGCTTCTCTCACCCTGTACAATATATTGTGAAATTTGAATTGAATAAAAATATATAATTTCAATTTTGTATTCATTTGATTTCCTAATTCTGTAAGAATAAAAGCGAAATTCCATTTTCAAGTCAATAAAAAAATCAATAATAATTTTTGCATGATAATTGATTGCAACATTATCTTTTTTCTCTAAATGAATATTTATATTTACCACGTTTACTCCCAAATGAAAGCAAAACACGAGAAATATTTCAAATAATGCGTGCGCTTCCCATTAGCCAACATAAGATAGAAAGAGATAGGTAACCGTAACCACTGCGGGTTGCCTGAACAATATTTTTGCCTCACTCGTCGTTCACAGTGGGTCCCTTCCAGGTGTTTAAATAGAGTTCATTGCCCAACACTACTCACCACATCCGACCGATTCGAGCTGCCCGAATGCCTCGAAGGGCTGACGTCGGAATGCCGATGAATAGCCGCCACCGTCGTATACAGGGCGTTCCCTCGCCTCTCCACCACCCCGTCTTCCTCCACGCCGTCTATCCTGTGCGTGCTCAACACGGGAGACACCTCGGGCTTCGCTAAATTCGCCTCCACGGACGAATTGATGTAGATGCTGGTCGTGTACAACGGTTTTTTCGGAATGGATTCCGATCGGTCGGAAGGATTCGGCGATTTTTTCAGGCTGTTGGTGCTGCCGTGCAGAGTGTTTTCGGTGTTTTTCAGTTCCACTTCTTTGTCGGCGGTGGTTGAAGGGTCTGCCGCATGGTTTTGTCGCTCCTCGAAGATGTCCTCCTTGGGTTTGGGCTCGGAGGGTTTCGGTAGGGTCTTCGGCAACACTAACCTGGGCATGCGCGACACCTGTGAAGGATAGAAGAGAGTGATGAGAAAAATGGATTTTTGTCAATTCAGACAAAAAGTTATCACCAAGTTGATAAATTCACCAATTTTTTTGGTGGTGGATATTTTGGTAATCGCGATAGAAAATACCACGTCGTCCCATCTAACGGCATCAACTTGGAGACTTCTGAGCGGTTTGTTGTGATGATATGACCAATAAGCACAAACAAAAAACAAATGTGAACCAATGAAAACGATATTTTTTTATGTATATCATGAAGAATGGCTGAAAGAATAACTGGGCTTCAGGTTACTGATGAGGATATGATATCTGAAATGAGTTTTACTCAAGTTAAGTCATAACCTATTTGTGAGAGATATAATTCCCATATCACTGATATGAATGATTTTTTTGTAAGTTTCAAGCTCATCAAGATCAGAGTTTATACAAGTATACTTCTCCTATACATTTCAATACTGAACAAATCGGTAAGTTATATTTTCATATCATAATACATCATATTATTCTATTCGATTTGAGAGATGTCAATTCTCAATTTTTTATTTGATTTTTCATGCTCTCTTTTTGGATATTCAACAGATATAATTCAATGTTCGACGTGGCAAATAGCCAGGAAAGTAGTTGTTTTCTGTTGAATATTCAGAATGATATTATATATATTTTTTTTTATTAAACCATTTTAGCATACATATTAATAAATACATCTAGCATTTTGTTCCTAATCAGCAACATGCTGGTGACGGAACATTATAATTGACATATGATTCAATAACAATTTCTGTAGTTACCATAATATACATTAGTATACATTAATATACTTATACACAAACAACAATTACAATCTTAAGTATATCATAGTACAGTAGTTTGTTGATTTATGTGCTGAATCAAGTTTATTTTAAATGAAGAATAACTATCTATATTTCTCACAGGATTTGGCAAAGAGTTGAAAGTTTCTAGACATTTGTATATAGGATTATTTAGTGCCAAGTTTGTTCTTACATTTGATAGATAAAAATTATTTTGATTTCTAGTCTCATATGTGTGAGTTTCGTTAACTAAGTTGAATTTAGTATTACATTTCTGTTGATTTTTTTGTATTTTGTAAGTGTATTTGCATTGTTCTATTTGTAATATTTGTTCCAAGGTCACTATTCCTGTTTCTTTATATATTTTCTCTGTATGTGTTCTGTAGCTATATCCAAATAAAAATTTCACTACCTTATTTTGAAGAGTCTGTATTTTCTTAAATTGTGTTGGTCGACATATACCCCAGTTTGTTATGAGATAGCGAAAAACTGACAGAAAGTATGCATTGTGAATCATAAGCCTATTTTAAGTATTCAGATAGCTACCACATCTATACAAAGCACCAATCATAGGGACTACCTTTTTTTGAAATATGATTTGAGTGTTCCTGCCAGTTCAGCTTATTATCTATAACCAGTCCTAGATATTTGGTGTATTCGACTATATTTATTTCTTGGGAACCAATTTTTATTGACAAATCATAGGTTTCCATATTTTTGTTTTTGAACAACATAAAAATAGTTTTATTAATATTTATTTTAAGTTTATTACTTAGAAGCCACTCGGCATATAGTGCATATCTTTATATGAAGGAGAATGCAAATTCTCCACTTCAGAAGATTTTGTTTCTAAATTCTTATGGTGTGTGTTCAATAGATGTAATTCAATATTCGTCGTGGCATATAGCCAGGAAAGTAGTTGTTTTCTGTTGAATAAACCGAGAAAGAATTAATATTTTCATCACATAGAGAATGCAAATTCTCAATGCATTTTTTTATATATATATGTATCAATTTTTGTGTTCATAAATATATCTGAGATTGTTCCTTTTCAATGAAAACGAAGTAAACATGCCGCTTTGACAGCTTTCAAGAACTCCGATAGGTTGTGTACGCTCATTTTCTATCGGGAATTGTAAAATAATTGTCATGTGGAGATATTGTATTGGTTAATGACCTACCGAAATGGAATTTTATTTTTTACTGTCAACAATTGCACAGATTTGTTACGGACCTCGAAGCAGCTACCGACTGTGCCGCTTTCGAAAAAGTCAGATTTGCAACTTCAACCATCGAAATTTAATTTTCAGTAATAAAATTAATCGAAAAAATACCAAGTCAAGGATTCTTCTGGTGTCCCTCAAGGTTCTCATTGTGGTCAAATTCTGTTCAGCCTGTTTGTCAATGATTTAATTGAAGTGTTACAAAATTCAAAATATTTGGGGGTTTGCTGACGATGTAAAAAATCTACAAAACAATATCATATATCAATCATTGCAACAAGCTTCAGAATGACATTGAAAATTTTTGTAATTCGGCTGATCTTAATGCAATGTGTCTGAATGTCAACAAGTGTTTCTGCATAACATTCTCTAGATCCAACTCTCCACTTACATTTGATTATAAAATAAAAGATGAATTGTTGCTTCGCGTCGCTGTAATTAAAGACTTAGGCATTTTGATTGACAGTAAGTTGACTTTTAAACAACATATTTTGGAAGTAGCTACTATTGGCTATAGAAATCTTGGATTTGTTATGAGAAACAAAAAGTTAATAGTTTAAAACTATTATTCTGTGCACTTGTTAGGTCAGGCTTAGAATATTAATAATAATAATAATAATAACATTAATTGATCCCAAGAAACATACAATGTTTATAGAGGGAAACAACAACAAAAAAATCAAATATGCAATACAATGAAAGATAATCAGTTCAATCAGAATTAATTGATTCAAGGGGAGAGTTGAATTGATAAAATATATTTCTTCAGTTCACACTTAAATTTTGTGACGAATCTAATAGATTTTATTCTGTTGGGTAGACTATTATAAATATTTATTCCACAAAAATACAATGATTTTTTCCCGAATTGGGTTTTTATTTTAACAGTTTTCAAATTTTCACTTTGTCTAGTGTGATGCTCATGGGTATCAGAATTGATATTGAAAGTAAGATGCCAATGCTTTTCTTATTTTTAGTGAAATGAATGAAAATGCATACTTTCATTTTGAAGAGAGAGTCAATATATAGTAGATCTCTTGGTTTGTATAGTCTAGATGTTGATTCCAGAAATGGTAGTTTATAAATACATTTTATGGCTTTATTTTGAAGAGATTTCAGAGGTTTCAAAACAGATTTTGCTGCAGTACCCCAGATCGATATCAGATACTGCAATTTAGAGTAAATCAAACTGAAATAAATTAATTTTAAGTATTTAAGAGGTATTAAAAGACCTCAATTTACAGTTGTTGATATATTTTGTATAATGATATGTTTACCTATAGGTATATAATTATGTACTTCCTTATACCAGAGCCTATTCTGTCTGGAAGTTATTTGTTCAATAGATAAATAAATAAATAAATAAATAAATAATAAGAGTTTGGAGTTTTTTGTAGGATTTATACAAAAATTCCCGAATTTTAACGGATCTATTCGGTTATCAGGTATAATTCTTTTCGAGATGAACATAAAAGAAGATTTATCGAAATTGAGTGTCAATTTATGATCTTGTAACCATAATGTTATTGAAGCGAGATCTTGTTCCATTTGGTTTTTTTATTTCTTGTATATTTTTTCCGTAATAAATGAGAGTTTGTGTCATCGGCAAATAATTTTAAATTCCCTTGTAATTTCAATCTTGAGATAGAATTTATATAAATTAGAAAAAAAATAGGTCCGAGAATTGATCCCTGGGGTACACCACAAGATATGTTTCTTATTGAAGAAAATGAATCTCTCATATACACAAACTGCTTTCTATCAACTAGATAATTTTCAAACCAAGAGTAAACTTTACCTCTTATCCCTATTTGAGTTAATTTCATTAATAGAATTTCAAAATTGACTGTATTCAAATGCCTTTCGCAAATCCAGTGATAAGAGTCCACATCTGTAGTCTCAATCTAATTTCAGCTGAATGTCAGTAATAACGTCTTCTGTAGTTCTATTTTTTCAGCACTGTGTGCCTGTCAAGAGTTTTGAGTAGATGAATTCTAATTAAAAAATATTAACAAGATATTTCAATACTGCCTGTACTCATTATAGTTGAAAATAAGCATGCACAGCTCCAATCGACTGTCCCATTTTCTAACAAAGATCAAATTGAAACTTCACCTATCGAAGTTTCACATTATCCACAGTCACAAAGTGTTCCCTCAAAGGTATTTCTCAACATTGTGGTCCTTCGAGCCGGATTAATAGTTATTTCCCCAAAATAATCCTCAACATTGTGGTCCTTCGAGCCGGATCAATAGTTATTCTCCAACAAATGCTACTGATGGAAAAAAGAACATACCCAATGGTCCTGCCCCGACCCCACGGAGCTTGTACTGGCCGCGCTGCTCGAATTCGAGCTCTGCCCGCCCCACCCGCCACCCCGTCTCTGGGTAGAACAGGATGTAGGCGCCGTTGTTGACCAACGCGGCATCGACGTCATTCACCGCTCCGGCCAGATCGGACACTTTGGCGTCGTCGTAGAGGTACCAGCGGTGGTCGTAAGGGTTCCTGCAGGCGGCCGTGTAGTGGCCCGTCTCCAGGTCGGTGCCGTGGTGGTAGCAGACCGCGTAGAGGTCGTATCTGTGTAAGAACAGAAGAAAATGTTTGTTATTAATGTTGGCCACTGATGATTTCATCGCCTCCTCGACGACTGAGTCCAGCTAGAGTGAAGACACGCTTGTCACCACTGAAATTTTCGAATTGTCAATATTCTCAGATTTGAAACGTCAGTTCTGAAATTGAATAGCGTCCCCGTGAAAATGTTTTCAAATATATCTTGTTGGGTAATGAAGCAACAATTGTAAGAATGATATGGTTAACATTTATTTCAGTTGCCCAAAGATCATACGACATTTCAAGTGTTTGTTGCAGCTTCAAATTCCAATATTCAATCAATGGAAATACATCCATTGACATAATATTGATATAAATACACAGTGTGCCTTTGATGTTACGCCACTGTTAAAGTTTCAAATAATAATACGTCCGCACTCGTTCAATGAAGGGGTACAGAACATGAGATAAGTAAAGGAGGCTTTATCGAAATATCAAAAAATATATAGGGTGTTCCATTGAGAAAATCAGAGTTGATGTCCTTTCCGGAAAAACTTTCCACAAATTAAAGTTTGTGAGACTTCAAACAACTCTTTCATTCAACATTTTTTCATGACACTCCAGAAACATGTTTAGTTTACATGAAAATCTGCAAATAACCTGCATAACAAATGAAGTGATACACCAGAATATGTCAATAAATTTGTAAATCAGCAAGGAAGGAAGGAAGGAAGGAAGGAAGGAAGGAAGGAAGGAAGGAAGGAAGGAAGGAAGGAAGGAAGGAAGGAAGGAAGGAAGGAAGGAAGGAAGGAAGGAAGGAAGGAAGGAAGGAAGGAAGGAAGGAAGGAAGGAAGGAAGGAAGGAAGGAGGAAGGAAGGAAGGAAGGAAGGAAGGGAAGGAAGGAAGGAAGGAAGGAAGGAAGGAAGGAAGGAAGGAAGGAAGGAAGGAAGGAAGGAAGGAAGGAAGGAAGGAAGGAAGGAAGGAAGGAAGGAAGGAAGGAAGGAAGGAAGGAAGGAAGGAAGGAAGGAAGGAAGGAAGAAGGAAGGAAGGAAGGAAGGAAGGGAAGGAAGGAAGGAAGGAAGGAAGGAAGGAAGGAAGGAGGAAGGAAGGAAGGAAGGAAGGAAGGAAGGAAGGAAGGAAGGAAGGAAGGAAGGAAGGAAGGAAGGAAGGAAGGAAGGAAGGAAGGAAGGAAGGAAGGAAGGAAGGAAGGAAGGAAGGAAGGAAGGAAGGAAGGAAGGAAGGAAGGAAGGAAGGAAGGAAGGAAGGAAGGAAGGAAGGAAGGAAGGAAGGAAGGAAGGAAGGAAGGAAGGAAGGAAGGAAGGAAGGAAGGAAGGAAGGAAGGAAGGAAGCAAACCATCATGAAAACCATCCATCCATCTAACAGTTTTCGAAGAAAAACACAGATATACACCAAGTCGGTCGACCATAAGGATTATATACAGTACCTGTGAAATGATTTGAAATTACAGAGAAACAATAAGTTGTTGAGGAAAACATACCTATAAGGCCATGTGGAAATCACGTCATTAAAAAATATTTTAGAGAGTCCGGTAAGGAATACTTGACTTTTTTGAACAGACTGAACTGCCAAATAAACCCATTTATCATCAGGTTCAACATTGGCACAAAAATTGAACAAAAAAAATACTAATTCATTCGAATGAGTTCCATCTCAAAATGGCCATTTAGTGAGAGCAACAGACATTGACAGAATGACATTGACAGAATAACAGTGACAAGTGATACAAACTTAATGACATGGAAAAAATCAGCTAAAGTTCAGAACGAGTTATGATAAAATAACAAAATAATTTCATTAGAAGAACCATGAATTAATTCCAAAATCAAATTACAGCAAAAAAAGAATTCGTGGTTCTTTTGAAATCATTTTGTTATATTATCACAACTCAAAAATGTCCTTAACTTTGAGCTGATTTTGTCCATTTTTGTCCAAATAGTTTGCATCATTTGTCACTGTAATTATGTCAATATCATTTGGTCAATGTCTGTTGCATCGCCCATTCCTTTGGTTTTGTCATTGACTCAATGGCCATTTTGAGATCAAACTCGTTTGAGTGAATTAGAAACATGATTTCCCAATTTTTGTGCCAATGTTGAACCTGATGATAATTGGTCAATTCCATACCGGACTTATTTCTCAGACTCTATGACTCCACGGCTTCTTTAAAATATTTTTTATGTGATTTCCACATGGCCTTATTTGTATACATCAGCAAATTATTGTTCCTCTGTAATTTAAATCTTTTTACAGGTACTGTACTAATTTGTCTGAAGATGACTATTTGATCCGAAACTAGTCACAATACATTTTGTGTAATATAGTTTTTGTGGTCGTTCGACTTGCTGTATTTCTGTGTTCTTCATTATCATAAGTATTATTATTACTTGTGATCGCTGGAAGTGGACGTCTTCCGCGACCGCTTCCAAGGCGACCAGCCGCCGTTCAACGCGACGCCATCCGTCTCCGAGGCAGCGTCGCGACGGTGGGCCAGCGCGGCGGCCCGCTTGCTGGCCAGGTGCGGCGACATGTCGAACCCCTCGACCGGGAAGTCCACCATGGTGGTGAGTTTGGTGCTGCTACCGCCTCGAAAACCTTGCCTGCAAACGGAGTGTCATTATGTTTTTTTTAACATGAATAGAGTTGTCCTAATTATCAGCAAGAGCAGTAAGTACAGTTTCGGCCCATCGGGCATCATCAGTCGCTCTCGGTCTGCTGACGATGGGGAAGTTTCCTTCGGATGAATTTTCACCAAATTAGTTTCACACTGATTAGAATTATGCTTTTGCAATATATAATGGCCATTGATATGATCAAAATAATTTTTATTCTCGAACTAGAGCAATTAAGAGATATTTTGGCGGAAAACAATGACGTAAACGGTTAATCTAGAATGAACTTGGGTATATTAACATAGGCTATGATATTATAATCACCGATCAAGTACTAGTATCCTGGAGAATGAATGAATTGAAAAAGAATGAATATGAAATTAGAGTGTATTGCTTACCATCAGTGATATCCGAAGGTATTACAATTCTCAGTAACTAATTATTCTATAGAAATAAAATTCAACTTGAATCATAGCAACTAGTGCGAATACAACGAAAACAGCGCATATACATATAATACTAGACCGTGAAGAGAGTAAAAAGCCGTGAATAACAATTAACTATGGATACATAGCCTCAATAAATTCGAAGCTATCCGCATGATTTGGTGTGAAACTGGTTTTGGGCGCGGATGCCAGGTATGATTTACTAATTTATATTATAAACAGAGCCTTCAAAGTACTTGGATTTGTCATCAGGAATACCAAAATCTTCAGTATTTATACTGTGATCAGATTATATATTGATCTGGTTAGACCTCATTTGGAGAATGCATCAATAATATAGGCACATCATACGAATAGCCATAAAGATTTGATAGAAAAAGTGCAAAAACGCTTCCTAATATACTTGTAGCTGAAAGATAACAATATTTACCCTCATAGGGTGTCTCATGAATCTATGAAATCAACATAAAACCTACAATACTTGAATGAAAGAAGAATTTCACAGTCTGTTTCATTTACATATTTTATTGTCAATAGTGTTAGGTATAGGGATTGTCTAATGATTAACTTCATAAAATTTATAATATCAAAAATTAATTTGAGAATAGTAAACTGGAATTTTTTTTACTTGATATATACAGCTCCTCACCTCTTAATTGTGGTTTAAAGATAGTATTTGTGTAGTATAGCTCCTTATGTTAGTTTTGTTTTTGTGTTTAACGATGTATAGGTCTCTGTTATCCTATTTTATTTTATTCGATATTTTAAATAACCATTTTTCTTAGCTAGTAGATAGCCTTACATGTAATTACTAAGTGTGTTTGTAAGAAGAAGTAAATAAATAAATGAATACATTAATTAATTAATTAATTAATTAATACATTTTGGAAACAATGAAAACCTACTCAGGATCCCTTCAAGTTAAAATTTCATTTTGGTTCTAATATATTTCTTTATGTTTCCTCTTGATAGGCAATTTCATCAGGCATCCATAAATGATTTGGTTTATACTTTTCGACTAATCAGAAAATCAAATTACATATATCATCACATATAAAGTAACCAATATTGGAATAGTCTCAATGCAGTCAATACATAAGTATACAGAATTTCTTATTATCCAAACATATGAATAGAAACGGCAGCATCGTAGTCGCGTTGGCAAAATCGCATCATTACCAATGACGTCAGCATAATGGTGAAGGAGCCGAAACTATTTGAAATGTTTTTCTGAAGTGAATTCTGAGGTCTGAGGCTATTGAGAAAATAAAAAATACCCAAACAATAATTTTTCATAAACTTCACGGATAAATAAAAATCTCAATAAAGGAAACTTCCCCATTGGGACAAACTGAAGTATGAAACTTACTGCCTGAAACGTTTCAAATGAACAATCAGAATGTCGGGCAACGACCAGACGTCCAGAGTTTTGACGACAGGTTGATACTGCTGGCAATGGGGACAACGCCAAGCGTCCGTCAAGGTTTCAGCTTCGGTGTACTCCCTGAGGCACTCCTCGAGCGTCAACGGCGCACCCCCTGAAAAATATTACATTTTCTTACGATACTGCCGTCATAAGCACAAAGGGCTTATTCCGCATCAAGGACAATTTCCACAAAACATTTTCCCTCTCTCCCTCTCACACACACTGATGTTTTTCATAAATTTTGTGGTCGATCGAATTTCTGTTGTTTCTTCCTTGCGAAAATACTGGATCACTTTGAGAATGAATGGATTCCATTACAGTTCCTTCACGTACTTGACAATTTTGTGCTAATCGATTGTTTCGAATGATTCAAGTGGAGAACTCCAAGGTTTGATTTCAAAAGATCCGGCTCGAAGGACCAATATGTTCGATGCTTGATAGTGAACTATATGTGTATAATTATTTAATATATTATATATCATTGCAATTCCCAATGCAATTCTCCTTTATTTTTTCATTTTGTTGATAAATCTTACTTTTCAATGATTCCTGAATAAATCGCGTTGTCTATTTATTGTTTTTCAAATCTGAGATTGTTCGTTTGTTGCTACCTGTGAAAGCTCCAGTTGCTTAGCATTCACTGTCACTACAGGTAGTCTTGAGTGTAGCTCCGTTCCCTTTGTGAAGAAATTGGCAATCTTGAAGGTTTGATTTTAATATCCGGCTCGAAAGACCAATATGATCGATACTTGATAGATAGTGGACTGTATTCGTATATGATATATTATGATAATGAAATGACGGTTGATATACAAGTTGCAATTCCTAATGCAATTCTTCTTTATTTTTTCATTTTATTTATAAATCTTACTTTTCAATGATTCCTGAATGAATCGAGGTGTCTATCTATTCTTTTTCAAATCTGTGAGATTGTTCGCTTGAACTGCCTGTTGCTACCTGTGAATGCTCCAGCTGTTTGGCATTCACTGTTACTCTAGGTAGTCTTGAGTGCTGCATTGTATCCTTTGTAAAGAACTAGGCAGTCTTGAAGGTTTGATTTCAATAGATCCGGCTCGAAGGACCAATATGTTCGATGCTTGATAGATCTTGGACTGTATTTGTATGGTTATATGATATAGTATGATATGAAAAAAGGTTGATATTACTGATGTAAGAATTGCAATTCACATTGCAATCCTTCTTTATTTATTGATTTTAACGATGAATATCATGTTGAAAATATCTCATGCTAGGGTAATAAAAGTATCAAACTATAGGGTTATCCGAAAAAAACCGGAATTTTGTTTTTGTCTGACAACTTTTTCATTTATTGGCCAATTTTATTGATTTTGGTCTTGTTCGAAAGAGAATTGATCAAGGCAGTCCGTTGATAGCAAATTTTTCATATTCGTTCAAAAAACAAAATGGCGGAGTCACCTAAACTTGGTACAATTTGAAAACTTGCTGGAACTTTTTTAAGTCGCACTGTATATCGTTTCGTGTGAGAATCTGGAAGTTTGGACATTTCTAAATAGAACAAGATGTAACAGGATATAGACATGTATGTTTTCACATTTTGTTACCAATTTTTCATTGAAATCGAGGAGGCGTATGTCAATTATTAGTTATTTGTAATTATTGACAGCTCTTGAATTGACTTTTTGAGATAGAAATCACTTCATTTTTGCTTTCTAAAGTGTATATAATGGCGCTTTTCAATGACGATAAAATTTTTATCAAAACTTTAATTTTGAGAGGATACAGAGTGAGTGATATTTTACAACATTTTGCTGTCGAGCGGTATAAAAAAAGTACAATTTACGATTTCGTAAAGAAATTTAACTTAACACACTCCATTGCAAGACGCGAAGGAAGTGGACGGCCAAGGTGCTAGGTGCTATCATTGTATGTCTTATGATCTACCAAAACTCATTTCAGGAAAATATTGCCCAAGTCTTGGATTTGGCTGTGAGTCCCGAAAGGGCGCCTAGGACCAGCTTTAGCGTTCCGCAAATTTCCAGAAGATCTGGAATTTCGCGTAGCTCTGTGAACAGGATAATAAAGATTGATTTGGGGCTTAATTTTTTTAAGCGAATGTATTCATTCAAACTCACTCCTGAAATCAAAGCCAGAAGATTGTTGAGATGTAGAAATCTTTTGAATAAATTCAGATCTAGGAGAGATATTCAAAAAATTTGGTTCACCGACGAAAAAATATTTACAATCAACCCCTTGAAAAACTCGCAAAATGATAGATTTTGTTTACCTCACCACCAACGAAAACGGGAAACGCCGTTGGAACGTCTTCTGAGTGAAGGAGATAAATTCACTAAGTACGTCATGGTTTCTGCAGGAATTTCTAGAGAACATAAAGCAAATTTGATTTTCATTAGGCAAGGGGTCAGGCTAAATTCACAGAGTTATTGTGACACTGTTTTAGCACAAGTGCTTCCAGAAATAGAGGATTCAACTCCTGACTTTATTTTCATGCAGGTATGTTTGTATCTTCTCATCATTTTCCTCGAGTTTTTCTTATATCATTTATTATTTTTTGACTATTTCCATTAAAAATTTGATTTTAGGATGGCGCGAGATGTCACACCAGTGCACACACCATTAATTACTTAAGAGAGAACGTTGCCAATTTTTTAGAACCACAAGAATGGCCTCCAAATAGTCCAGATTTGAATCCTTGTGACTATTTTCTGTGGGGTGATTTGGAGGCTAGAGTTCACAAAAATGGAACAATATTTGAAAATGTTGAACAACTACAAGAGGGAATTCTTCAGTGTTGGGAGGAAACCAGCCAAGTTAATATTAGGAAATCAATTGACAGTTGGCGACGACGTGTAGAATTAGTGGTTGAAGCTGATGGGGACCACATTAGAACATAATTTTCTCGTTTACTCTTGTTTCTTGTTCAATATCGTTTTTCCTTCTGTTTGAGAATGATTGTATTGAGTTGAATTCCATGAAGGAATCGTAATTTATGCTTTTTATACCACTTGACTCAAAATTATCATGATTTTGAAGACTTTGAGAATCATAAATGAGGTGGATCTTGGAAATAACGAATGAAAATGAGCATAAAAGTTCCAAAACATACATGTCTATATCCTGTCATATATCAGGTATTTTTCGACGGATTATCATGTTCGACATCTTGTTCTATTCAGAAATGTCCAAACTTCCAGATTCTTACACGAAACGATATACAGTGCGACTTAAAGAAGTTCCAGCAAGTTTTCAAATTCTACCAAGTTTAGGTGACTCCGCCATTTTGTTTTTTGAACGAATATGAAAAATTTGCTATCAGCGGACTGCCTTGATCAATTCTCTCTCGAACAAGACCAAAATAAATCAAATCGGCCAATGAATGAAAAAAAGTTATCAGACATAAACAAAATTCCGGTTTTTTTGGACAACCGTATATTATATAGGGTCATACAAGTACTGAACAGAGATCGCTACTGACCGTGCATCGCTTGCGCTCTGAGCATCTTGACGCTAGCGTGCTCCTCCACCGTGTCCTTATCGTCTGCAATGAGGGCGGCCTTCTCAGCCGCCCCCCACTCGAGCACCAGCTTCACGTGGGGCGGGCCGCCGTCCTCGCCACACAGCGCGAGCGCCTGGTCGACGGCCTCGGTGAAGAGCGGATGCTCGAGCTGGGGATCGAGGTGGCAGGGGGGTTCGTTGTCGTCGCACGCCGGGTCGCTGATGCGTATCTTGAAGACCTTGAAATTGTGTTGTTTTTGTGAAAATTGAGAGATGAAGTTTTTGGATGTATGATAGATTGATTTTCATCATACAGGACGTGGAAAGAAATTCTGAATTGAGAAAACCTAATCACGAATCTGCGATTTAAGGGGAACAGATACAGAGGGTGATCAGAATTCTGAATCTTGAAGCACCCTGTACTTTTTCCAATTAAATTCCAGTAGATAGTGAATCAAAAGTTGAGATAGGGACATGTAAGCCGTTTTGATCGAAAAATCTCAATTTTGAACACCTTATATCTCTGCAATCATTCCTGCTAGACCCCAATTCGCGAAAATCACGAACCAATAGATGGCTCTATTAAACGTCAAATCAACGTCAAATTTCCAACTGAGTATGAACAACAAAAACATTGCCGTATGAACTCATTGCAAATTGGTTATTTCCAAATCATTTTGCAAAATAGTGAATAATAAGTTGACTTCTTGAAATACGTACAAGGCTTCCAGTATGGGAAAAATTACTTTTTGTGCAGAGAAATTGCCATTTTGATGTGGACAATGGTGGTATTCATCATTGATATCACACTACAATCCCACAGTTTTTCAAACATATGGAATGATCGGAATGGTCCACTCAACACTTGCATGGACTGGAATGGAACCATACAAGCAATCAGGTATTACAACTATATGGTATAGGTATGAAGAAATAATTGAATTCATCAAGAAATATCACTGGCTTTTATGAAGGAGATGGAATTCTAGGGAAAGGCTTGGAAAAGAAGACATGGTTGGAGAGGCTGCTCAGAATGAACAATATCATCGATTTACATAAACAAGGATTTCCAGCAATTGAGGACTTGGTTATTCTCAAGATCGAATCATTGCAACCAACATTCATACAATGATTCTAATTGTGCTTCAGAAAATGTATATTATATTATTATGAGGTAGGTACTGGTGTCTTCATTGTAAACAATAAAAGTTCATGCAATAATTTGAGTTTTTTTATCAGGGAGGAATGAGGTTCTGAAATATGCACTTCAACAAATGAATTATTTTCCAATAAAACACATTTATGAAATTCAAAACAATGGTCGCCATATTTGTTGTTCATACTCGCAAGACTTGTACAGTTAGCCACCAGAGGCCGCACACTTCGTGATTTTCGCGAATTGTGATGCAGTGATGAAATCAGCTCTTCAGAAAGAATCCTAAAAATGCAATAAAATACAGGGCGTTCCATTTGAAATAACGAAGTTGCTAGTTGTTTCTGATAGAAGTGGCAACACTTTATCGATGAAAATATTTTAGACGGATAGAGAATGTTCAATTATCACGAGCATCCCAATTTTCAGAATGTTCTGTCTTTTCGTTCTCCAGATACTTCTAATAGGCCATCACCCTGTATATATCCATTTTTTTGTGTTCATAAATATATCTGAGAATATTCCTTTTCAATGAGAGATGAAGGTTCGACATGAGTTCCTTCACATTGATGGCCAGAGGGTATTAGAGATTTCCCTTTTGTGGGTCATGTCCGTCAGATATGACTGACAGGAAAATCTCCCATGAGGCCGCGTCAGTCTAGTGTGACTGACAGAGGGTTCAAATTCAGGCCATTTTAGTCAGAAATGAATTTTTGTCAGTCGCGGTTGATTCGACACTTTACTGTGGTCGATCTGTAATATTCAGACGTCAACTAAAACGAATCTATACCAACAACCTCCTTAATGAAAATCAGTCGACGGTTCAAGCAGTAACTTGTATTGTAAAGAAGATAGTGGATGATCTTGAGGAGGGTAAACTCACATCTGCAACGATGTGCGACCTCAGCAAGGCGTTTGATTGTGTCTCTCATGACATCCTATTTGAGAAACTTCAGTACTATGGTGTCAGGGGAATAACATTGGATATCTTCAAATCATATCTGAATAAGAGATTTCAATGTGTTACGTATGGTGAAAAATCGTCAAAATTTATGGAGATTAAAAATGGAGTACCCCAGGGCTCTGTCCTTGGGCCATTATTGTTTATTGTATACATCAACGACCTACATACTTATATGAAGCCTGATAAATGCATTCTTTTCGCTGATGATACCACACTGTGTAGTTCAAATAAAGACGAAAGTATTTTACATTCCGAATCAGAGCAACTTCTCAAAAAAGCGGAAGATTGGTTCGTAGCAAACAAATTGAAATTGAATGACAATAAAACTCAAAAAGTTGTTTTCTCACTGACTCACTGAAATGGACTCATCATATCAATAAACTTTGTAAAAAATCATCAAGTCAATTGTTCCTACTTCGACAACTGAAGAAGGTTTTTTAGTAGTGAAACGCTGGTCATGGCCTATTTCTCTCTATTTCACTCGCATCTTAATTATGGTTCAATGCTGTGGGGTAATTCAGCAAACTCTATCAAAGCATTTACCCTTCAAAAAAAGCTATAGGGTCATTGGCTAATCTTAGCTATAATAGAGATCACTGTTTGCCATACTTCAAATTTTTTCAGAATACTACCTTTGCCATGTTTATATATTATGAGCACACTGATAGAAACTCATAAACAACTTGACACATTACCTACTAAAGCTGACTCACATAAATATAGCACCAGAAATCGCAAACATCTTAGACCTAGCCGTTACAGACTTGCCTTATCCTCGAATAATTCTTTGGATATTCATCTCTTCAATAAATTACCTGAAGAAGTGAAAAACCTCCAAGCACCTAAGTTCAAGAAAATTATGAAAGAATATTTATTATTCCATTGTTTCTATAGTTTTTCTGACTATATGGAGGCTCCAACAACCTTCTTTCTGAACCATACATCAGTAGGAAATTGTGACATAAATCTGCCATAGTTGTATTGAGAGAAAAAGACGAATCTACAATTTATACAGGAAGAATATCGAAAAGAACCGACCGAATTGAAATATAAATGAAACAAGAGACTTGCTGAAAGTGATATTCTCTTCAAACAAATTTCAAATGAAAAAGACTTGATCGAAAATTTAGAGCAGATATGATCGAAAATTCAAGGTTTACAAGTAAAAAAGAGTGAGTGAAGGTATCAGGAAACAAATGAAAAAAAAATTGACAAAAATATTTGGATATCAAAATCGTCATGAGCAAAATTCACAAATGTCAACCAGAAAAAAATCAACATATTTATATCTTCAGAAGAATGCAAAGACTACAAGTGATCCAGGCAATTTGAGTAAAATTCACATTCTTTGTGAATAAAACTATGACAAATTTTTGCAATTCATAAAGCAAATGGAAGATTTGAATGACAAATTGAAAAATACTATAGGTAAAGTTGCTATGTACGAGCCTGATATAACTCGGAATTCAAAATTTAATGGAACTGATGGGATACGAAAAATGTAAAAAATGTAAAATTTTGTATGGACGAACTCGAACATTCATTTTCAACACGGTATTATCAGAATTCAGAACTTTGATCCGTGTGACCGATACTGTTCTCCCCATTTGGATGAAATGGCAATCACACCTGGAAAACAACATTGTGTAGCTTAATTCATTTTTGGCCATGCAACATTCACCAAAAATTTCGAAATCGCCACCTTTTAGTAGTTCGACTTCGTATCGTCCCTTTTTCCGACTCGAGTGTACTCTCCTCTAACTACGTAGAAGAAGGAAGATACGAGAAACCTTTATCTAAGCGAAAAACACATTAATGTCCTCGTTTCGCAAAACGAGCGATCTGCTTCAAAATTATTTGTGGTTATGTCTTGCTCTTACTCTAATTGTTGCTAACGAACATGAAGAGGAGTATCTGAAGCTGATTGTCTACTCAATTTCCACAAGAGAGACATAATTATGACTTACTCCCAAAGGTTGTGAAGCAGTTAGAATGTCATCGTGTAGAATAGCAGCCATTTCTTTGAGCAACAACTTCTGCAAATCTTCATAAGATGTTTCTCTTGGTACCTGCATAGTGTACGGACTTCCTGAAAATAAGAAAATGATCAGTTAAGTCTCCTCATTATCAAAATCATCAGCTACAATCAATCATCAACAAAGGACTTTCTTCAGCACCAAAAAAAAATACGGTGCTAGAAGATAATATATTCATTCATTATATTGGCGCAGTCAGTAGGATTCCGCACGGGCAGTGCAAAAATGCTGAATTGCAGAAGCTATATAGTTTATGACTCTCTCTTTAACCCTCAGTGGAAGGCCCGGCAATAGCTATTCGATGATCCGGCTCGAAGGACCATGTCGGATTTTGCCTACAGAAATATGGGGCTGGTTCCCACTTGATTCAGCTAGAGTAGTATTTTGATAACGGAATTATATATTTTTGATATTATAGAATATTGAATGTATAACGAAACTCTGTAGTATCAATGACATCATCAACTGTGTACCGGGTGAACAACTAAGAACGGCTGTCATATCTATCATTCTTCCAACTATGATAGTTAATATCTTCCGTTGGCGAAAAGCTATCATGTTGCGGTTTTCGTTGGTCTGTTGAGATTTAGTTTCTCTATTACATCATGTAATGATAAGCAAATCATTAGATTCATTCTATCTCAAACTTGTATCATTATTCGTTGCTGAGATATGGCCGACAGCCGTTCTTAGTTGTTCACCGGGTAAACAATAAAAGTTATAAATTATATAAGTATTCCGCAGAGTTATCCCCACCATTCGCGATATAATTCATTTATCCGTGTTAGGCGTGTACTTTATCATTGATTTAAGAAGGAATCGCGGTGTCTATCTGTAATTATTCGATCCACTCACCGAATCTATTGCACCCGCCTTCACCGACCAAAGTATTAATCCAACAGAGCAACACATAAGCGCTAGTAGCATCCTCCTCGGCGTCCTTTAGCTGCGCCACCTCTATGCAATAGACGGAATCGATCTCGCTGATGACGCTGACGGACTGGCCGTCGGCGAAGGTCCGCATGAAACCGCTCTCGCCTATCTCCGTGAGGAGCATGTCTGAACGGCGTATGGAGGTGTCAGACTCGAGGATGTCTCGTAGTTCGGAGATGGTGGTGCCCGATGGGACGGTCAGGCCGATCTGGACTTGCCTCGGTTGCTGGGACGTATACAACACCTTGAAACGAGAAAATAGTGATGATGATGCAAACAGCAACATGACTTCTTTGAACAAATACAGCGATGGATCAAAGTACCGCTTTACTATTCAGACAAGCCTGAATACGATTTTCAGCTAGTAGGTTGCCATCCTCAGTAGAAGTGGGTGGAAAGTTTAAATGACTCTATAGTTTCTTTCGGGATATACAGGGTGAGTGGTTTTTTTTAGCAGGACCTTAACAGCTTGAAGATGTTTTTTGAGATGAAAATACCCGTGAGGACCATGTCGGCGCGGCGTATCAAGGTGTCAGATTCGACGATGTCTCGTAGTTCGGAGATGGTGGTACCCGATGGGACGGTCAGGCCGATCTGGACTTGCCTCGGTTGCTGGGACGTATACAACACCTCGTAACGAGAAAATAGTCATGATGAAAACAGCAACATGACTTCTTTGAACAATTACAGCAATGGATCAAAGTACAGTTATACTATTTAGACAAGCCTGAATATGTATTTCAGCTAGTACGTTGCCATCCTCAGTAGAACGGAAGGGACAATAAAGATTAGCTGACTCTATAGTCTCTTTAGGGGATATACAGGGTGAGTCGGTTTTTTTAGCAGGACCTCAACAGCTTGAAGATGTTTTTTTGAGATGAAAATCTCCGTGAGGAGCATGTCTGAACGGCGTATGGAGGTGTCAGACTCGAGGATGTCTCGTAGTTCGGAGATGGTGGTGCCCGATGGGACGGTCAGGCCGATCTGGACTTGTCTCGGTTGCTGGGACGTATACAATACCTTAGAACGAGAAATTAGTGATGATGAAAACAGCAACATGACTTCTTTATACAATAAAGCGACGGATCAAAGTACCGCTAAAGTATTTAGACAAGCCTGAATATGTATTTCAGCTAGTTTGTTGCCATCCTCAGTAGAACTGAAAGGAAAATAAAGATTAGCTGACTCTATAGTCTCTTTCGGGATATACAGGGTGAGTCGGTTCTTTTTAGCAGGACCTCAACACTCTTAACAGCTTGAAGATGTTTTTTTAAGATGAAAACCTTCGTGAGGACCATGTCTGCGCGGCGTATCAAGGTGTCAGACTCGTGTCAGCTATAAGAAGTTTTTTTGAGATGAAAATCAAATACCGAGATACATACACATTCCTGATATCCACTACTACTACTACTACTACTAGCGTAGACCACAGAGCTCGCCACCGATATACAGGGTGGCCCACGAGGTTTTGGCCAGTCGATATCTCGGAAACTATTTGAACTAAAATTTTGAAATTTGGTGGTTTCAAACAGTGGAATGTGGTGTTCATTTTTTATATAAGAGGGCTTTATTGCAACATCGCATTTCCGATCACGTGACATCAACTTCGAAATTTCAAATGGAACACCTTGTATTTTATTGCATTTTCGTGAAGTCCTTTCTAATACAAATTCTACGATACCATAATGGTCAGCGGTTTTTCGGCACTACAGTTAAGATACTCCTGTTGTTCTTTAATAAATTTTCCATTTTCCATTTATTTGACAGCTCATATTGTCACCGTTTCACATGAAAATCCTGACAATGATGGTATCGTAGTATTTGCATTAGAAAGGTCTTCACAAAAATGCAATAATATACAGGGTGTTCCATTTAAAATTTTGAAGTTGATATCACGTGATTGGAAATGTGATGTTGCAATGAAACCCTCTTATACCAAAAATGGTCACCGCATTCCATTGTTCAAAACCACAAAAATTCAAAATTGTAGTTCAAATAGTTTTCGAGATATCGACTGGCCGAAACCTCGTGAGCCACCCTGTATATTACTAACTAGACAGCTAATGCCATGAGATCAAAGATCATTCATTTACATAGTTGAACTCATCTAATAGAGCAAAAGCAGGCGAGCAATTTGACGAAGATTTTTGGGTTGTTGGAATATGACATATTATAGCGGTCTAGATAGAACTTATGTCAATGGTGTAGACGCCTACTACGTTGACAGTTCTCATGGATAGCAAAGCAAAGTCTGTCAGTTTGGCATGAAATAATTATGGCTGTACTTGTCAGAATTAATCACTCATTTATAATAAATGCTTTTTATGCTTCGTGAACGTGAAATAGTCTAGCAAAATACCACTCTGTTCTGAATATCTTCTCATAATTCTGTCTTTCATTATTTCATGAACAATGATGATCTCGAATATTCATAACATCGTGATATGACTTATGAGGATATTCGGAAAGATAGGTTACCATAGTCAGCTTCTCAGGTCTACTGAGGATGGCAACATAGTTGCCGAAATACGTATTTAGGCTTTTACGATACATTCTTCATAGTACAAAAAATTTTAAACAAATGAAACGACCTCAGATCAGATAAATAATCCTCCATTTGGACTTCTAATACTTACGGTGATATACACTGATAGTTTCTGGAATTGTGGAAGTTGAACAGAAATACACTGAAAAGGATCGAAAGTATTGGATTGTGTACGACATCGGGAACAACTCAACGATGATCGGTACTGAGCTTGGAAAATTCCTTGTATGAAGGAATTGTTACATCTCTTGTAATTTTCTAAAGTCTCGGCAGCTATCACTTCATCAGGCCTGCCAGATGTCTAAAATATAAAGAATGTCTTTCTGAATTAAAACACATAAAATAATATAACATGGGTGTCATTTAGGGGATTTTCAACAAAAAATTGATTCTACTTAGAGCCTTCCTGAACCTGACACCCTTGCAAATTTTGTGGCCTGAATCTATATTCCATGCCGGCTGCATCATATTCTGTTTCCATTTTTGTAGAATTACGTTATCCGATGGAAATTACTGCCAGTTCCCGCTTTTTCCATCAATTTATTTGTGGTTATGTCTGATTGTCATTGCTTGTCATAGTGTCCGAACTCTGATATACAAAAAACGTCAAAATCAGCAGTGTCAAGTACATTTAGGAACTCTAGAGGAAAGGAGCTGTCTAAGAACCATTACCAGAATAAGGCACCCAGCAAATGCTCTCCACAACCCTTCCAACATTCTTCTCTATCAAAAAACTAAAATAGAACCCATAGAACCCACCCCTACCCAAATCTCCAGGCTTTCAAAAAAGTTTGCAGACAAACAAGAACATATCACCCTTTCACAGCCCCTCATTCACCAAACCAATTCTTTGATAGTAGGAGAGCCGTCTGCAGATTTCTACCGTCATCTGATAACGAAATGATATACAGTGTGTCTCACTTCTAATGGAAACACCCCCGTATCTAACGAAAATAACGAAAATATCAATAGCAAGTGAATTGGGCGTCCTGATTCCGAATCCGAAGTGATTTTCATCCTAATTTGACTCCTAATATCATTTTCCGGGAATTGGGGTTGTTCCATGGCTGTTGCCGAGCAGTGTATATCACTGAAGATGGCCGTACTTGATCATAGAGTGCATTTTTGGTATATCCCTCGTTCCAGCAAATTTCAGGATCCTTACCCAACGATTATACAGGGTGTTTCAAAAAAACCTGACCCCCTTGCTAGGGTAGGTAGAACACTGCAAAATAAGTTGGGTTTGCTCAGTGAAAAAATGTCGTAACGGCATCCGTTTTCATGATACAAGGTGTTGAAAAAATGATTTTTTTACACATTTTTCACGATTATGTCGAAACTACTGGCAACATTGTAATGAAATTTTGTATGGATGTTTCTTGAAATCTGACACATCGCATGAATTTGTTTTAATATCTGATTCTCATAGAGGGCGCTAGTTACACGGTTCGTACCGAGTAGTTTAGAACATAACTTTTTTGAGGTTAGATTTTTCAAGCCAAATATGATATGAACTTGAACATCATTCAATTTTACATCAAAAAGGTACTCCTGGTGAAACTCGATAATATGTTCCGATTTCGGAATATTTAGATTTGAAAATAATGGAGTAGAAATGATGCTGATATAAAATGAATTTTACTGAGTTCAATTACCTATTTATTCACATCCAAAAACAATAAAATCATTCTTGTGCTGTAATTATTGATGGAACAAAGATTCAAAAGTAGAAAATTGAGAGATATTTGACTAGAAACATGAAATATTGAATCAGTTACTCCAGTTAGAGTAAGTGTTCAAAATGTCCTACGTTTCGACGAATTTACGATTCTATATTCTCTTCTTAAGGATGTATTATTCTTCTGAACAGTTGAGGATCAGTTGTTAGGTCATTTAAGTGATGTTCAATTATGTCTTACAACTCTTGACGTGAATTCACCTATGTAGCATAGACTTTCTGCTCAAGATTCAACAAAACTGTGTAATCCAGGTACTTAGTCAAATCTGTTTCGATGATATTCTTGTGATTCAATGTTAAATCAATGAGTTTAGCATCAGAAATGTATTGTTGTTTTCGGTTTTCAATAAATAGGTGATAATTTTTCATAATACTCATTCTAATACAAAGCTTTATACCAGCAACAGTTTTCACTTCATCATTTTCAAATCGAAATATTCCGAAAACGGAACACTGTATCGAGTTTTACCAAGAGTACCTTTTTGGTGTGAAATTGAATGATGTTCAAGTTCACATCAAATTTGGATTTGAAAATCTAACCTCAAAAAAGTTATGTTCAAAACTACTCGGTACGAACTGTGTAACTAGCGCCCTCTATGAGAGTCAGGTATGAAAACAAATGCATGTGATGTGTCAGATGCAAGAAACATCCATACGAAATTTCATCACAATTTTGACAGTAGTTTCGACATAATCTTGAAAAATGTGTAAAAAAATCATTTTTCTACAAACGTCAAAAAATGACAAGGTTCGCGCATTGATAACAAATTGCGAAGTGACACTTTTTTTCAGTTTCCTACGTTACCATTATTCCTTGCACAAAACAATGCGCGAAGTAAAACAGTGCGCGAAGTACCTACTTCGCGCATTGTTATGTAAAATATATGAGATATTTATATTTCAACTTCATGGTCTTCAATCGAGCAAACATCCACGAAATCGTTTATTTCTGAATGTTCAACAATAACTTTGTTTTATCTCTTGGAGCGAACGGAAGGAAATTCTTATTATGTTCGTGGAACATCGTGCGTACCTAGGGAGGATAGAGGGAGGCCTTTTGAGCCAGTTCAACACTATTTTTTATATCAAGTTGAGCATATTTTTCCGTTAGAACTATATTTTTTGACGTTTGTAGAAAAAATTTTGTTTGCAACTCGAGCGCGAAATACTTTGGTCATCTCGACTATTTTTTCAACTCGGCTACGCCTCGTTAAAAAAATCAGATCTCGATCACCAAAGTAGCATTTCGCGCTCTAGATACAAAAATAACTATTTTTCAACACCTTGTATCTTGATAACGGATGCCGTTAAGAAATTTTTTTACTGAGTAGACCTAACTTATTTTGCAGTGTTCTACCTACCCTAGTAAGGGGGTCAGGTTTTTTTGAAACACCCTGTATAAGATACAGGTGTGTTTCCATTAGCAGTGAGACACACTGTATGTCCCAAAGGAAAGTAAAAACATTGTAGTTCATGGAACGGCACCTTGCCAATCAGTATCCTGAGCGATTTTTACCGTAGATTTCGAATCTGAGTTCAAAATTCTGGTAATTAGTATACAGGGTGAGTTATTCTCTCAATAACTCAACATAAGGAAAAAATATTATTCCGGTCCTGATATTCGTTTCGATCAAAGGGCTACTTGTTGATGCCTTTCAGATTGAATTTTTTGTCAAAATCCACAAATCACTCTGTATGTCAGTAACGAAGCGGTTTTGGACATTTAATTACGGCATTTTGCAATCATATTGACAGTCCCTATAACCCCACAAGTTTTGTCAGTTTCATCTCCGGACACCCTGTATACCTCCCAACAATGGGAGATATTTTTTTCTGAATAGTCAAATAATAGACATTAAAATCTCACAATTATGAGTAAAAATCAGTTATAATTATATTTGTCTTTAAGAATCATTATCCCTTCCTACATCTTTTCAATCTTGGTATTTTGTTCCTGATATCATTTATATAAGTGGCAATTATGTAATTAATATTTGTTGTAATGTCACAATTATGAGTAAAATTCTGGAGTCATTATTGCATTTGTCTTCTAAGAATAATTAGCACATCTTACATCTATTCAATTTTAGTATTTCATTCCTGATATCATTTGAACAAGTGGCAATTATGTAATTAATATTCGTTGTAACCATGATGAAAATAGATATCCACCATCATATGTCTATGATATCCACCTTTGTTGTAACTGTATTGATTTTTGTTCTATAATGGCATCATCTAAATAACCTTTTGCAAGTACAGCACTTATCATTTGATAAGGAAAGGTCCACATTTACACTATACCTATTTGGAATGTCCTGTTTGTTAAACAATGCTTATCCAGCATGATGACATAACATATTCAACCTTATTTTAATTTGATTTGATAATTTTTATCACCAGACTAAACAGATGATAAGTGTTTTCTTCAATCTTCCCTGTCCACTGTTCAAATTATTTGTTAATGTGAATAATTATTATTCTATCAGAACCAACCATATTTTAATAATTCAAGTTTGTATTTGAAAAAAAACACTTTATTCTGTTTGTATTATAGGCAGTTATAGGTTATATTTTCAGAGTAAATTAGAGTTATATTCTTTCATTTTGAACTATGTAGATAGATAAATAGATAGATAGATCTTTATTTAATTAGGAACCCCTTATATACATAATTAAATAAGAAGGCATATTACAATATATATATACACATATACAGAGATGAAAACTGAGTTGAACAATTGCAGAACAGAAATGTTAAAATGACTATCATGAAATACCTATGATGAAAGTAGAATAATAAGATTAAAAACAGTATATGTAATGATAAATGGCAATATAAACATAAAAAAGATAAAATACTGAATAGACATATGGAATACACCATGAAGACCTTACTTAGCTACTTATTTAGGATGAATTCCTTCAAATTAGCTTTGAACTGGATGAGTGAAGCAGATCCCTTCACAGACTCTGACTATTTATTGAACTCCAAAAATCCTTTGTAAAATAATGAATTCATGGTACTATGATAGGAAGTGGTAGAAACATAGATGTAATTTTTGCCATATTATGTGTTATGATTATGAATATTTTTATTGAATTTTAGGTATTTCTGAAAGTATTCTGGTGCTAAATGATTTACTATTTTATAAATGAGAATGTAACTGAACCAGTTCACATACATTCTATCTAATCAAACTCTTTGGATGGAACACATAATAACTTGAGTCAGTTCAGTTCTAGTGAAATAAATATTTCAGTTAGTTCAGATGAAAGAATATCACTTAGATCTCAAACCTACATTCATGGCAACAGGAAACAGTAGAACAAAATTGAGTTACACTGTGAAAAAACAGAATGCAAATGATCTCAAAAACAATATGTATATCAAAACTTTTGAAATGTGTAACATACTCTTGCAGAGAATATTTAGACTTTTATTGACATTTCTATTTCAGAAACTATGCCCTTAGTTTCTATAGGTATTAAGGTACACATAAGCACAGTTTGTTAATCTGTGACATAAGAGCCTATTTTCTATGAAATTTTGATTTGATACTGATTTGAAATTATTGTGATGCAAAAATAGTGAATAAAACAGAGTTGACCACAACTTTTATATCCTGTATAGATATATTTATATTTCTGAGCAAAAGGGTGTGAGTAAAAAAAGTAGGGATAAACTCCAAAAGGACTTTCTGCTGCAACAAATCTCAAACTTAAATAGTAATATTTACCATGTATATGCTGACCTCAAACTGAGAATATACCTACACAAATCGAAACTTACCTTAATTGATTTAAACTTCTTTTTAGAAGCTGTATTTAGATCCTCATGAACCTTATCTAAAAGCCACTGTAAAAATTCTAAAGCATCATGTTGCTGGTTACCCTTATATTGAGTGCCATGTCTTTCAACAACTTGTTTGAAACTTGCACTCAATTCTGGACTATACTGACACGCCCAAAGTGATTTCAACAGTAAGGCTAGTTGTTCTGTGACTTCTCCTTTGGTCCCAAATTTCTTAGAGTTCAGTTTATTCCTTTTAGATAAATCAATTTTGTATCTATCAAGAACAAAATACTCTGCCAGTATATCAGTATGGGAGATACACTGAACAACAGCATTGATGAAACAAGTATTTCCATGGTTCTTTAATCCTGTGACACCTGGTATATCATCTGGACCCCAGGTTTGTAAGCCCACAGGAGGAACTCTGTTATTTTCTATGGATTGGTTGATACCTGGGACCCCTCCAATATGTTGGGCTATTTTATTGATGAATTTTCGAATAGAAGGACTCCTAAAAATTTTTCTGTTTACATCAGAATCATTTGGGGCAATTTTTAAATCGTTTTCGTCCTTCGTTTTTGGTCTACGTTTAGACATTCTGGTGGCATTGAAAGGATTTCTTGGCAGAGTGAAAGATCTCCTTAATTTTGGAGGCTCCCTGTTTAGAGCATTGGGGTCAGGAAATGTGTGTGTCATTTCGTTGTTGTTCAATATTCCCATCGAATTCGATTTTATTCCGATCAGGTTTGCACTTTCGCACATCACACCATCATGTTTCTCATTTTCTCATTATTTCAACCCAAAAAACTTTCCAGAAACTTTCAGATTTATTTCTAGTGATTACTCTTGTTTCCTTTTCTACTTTACTATTGTCAAAAAAATTAAAAAATGCCATTTGTCACAGTCAAAACTGCACGTCAGTAACGTCACTACTGTCACCTTTCATGCGAAAACATGATTTCTGTGATATCTTTATCACTTGCATGTGTTAAACAAAGATGAAAATACACTCAGTGCAGAAAAACTCCACCAGATTCTTTCAATGATCTGACCAGGATGGTTCAGACACTCTAGTTCCACTGGCAGGAACTGGTGGAGTATTTCTGCACTCAATGTATATGTGTCCTTCTTTCTCGCACGTGTTAAACAGCGCTAAATATACACTCAGTGGAGAAACACTCCACCGGTTCCTTCCAATGGAATTCACTATCAGACTGACTCAAATTTTGGCGGAATGCGAAATTGATCGGTAGATTTTGAATTCGAAAATCCGATATAATTCCAACGACTTCCCTATATAATTTTGCATTTTTATTTCAAAAAGAAATCGTTTCTATAGTTTCGTGGGATTGACTTCAAATAAGTAGATATTGATCAAACTTCTGAATGATAAACAATTTATCCAATTAAAAATCCTTCAAGAATCCATTATGTCCACTACAGATAATTTTTCAGATATATCGGAATGCCGACCCACTAGTACTAATGACTATAAAGAAACTTTGATGTCGAAGTATAAAATTCCGATTATGCATTTTGAATTTGAGTATATTGAAAAGTGCATGGATGGCAGAGAATTAGAAAAAATCTTGAAGGTACTGAGATCAGGAGAAGAAGGATATTACCCTGATCTGGTGAAAACTACTGAACAGAGACTGAGTATCCTGCGACCCAAGAGTAAATTGCTTAGAAAAATTGCTCCCATCATAGACAAAAAGGATTTGAACAGAGATGAGTTGGAGGAAATATCAAAAGATTTAGAGAGTTTTGTGGTGAATGTATCAAAAAACGATGAGGAACTTTTGAGTCGAAAAGCTAATGTGAAATATAATGAAGTGAATATTAGGTGTACCATAGATGCACCAGATAGTAAGCAAATTGTTAAAACTAATGAAAAGAGTATAAAATCCACAGACTATGGAGCCTGGGACAAATATGATCCAGATACAGAATTGCTAAAAATGGAGTTGAAAGAAGAAAGGGAGAGAAAACAATTTTTAGAAAACAGAAGAAGTTCCATACCAAAGAAATCTGTAAGTTTCAATAAATTTGCTACTGAAGCTGAGGCTAATTTCATCTCAGATAGGGAACGAGAAAGAGGAAATGAGTATTTCAAGTCTGGAAACTATGAAGAAGCTTTACAGTGCTATACAAATTCCATCCAAACTAAAGCAAATGTCGACAATCTAAATAACAGAGCAGTTACTTTTCTGAAATTAGAAAAGTATCAAGACACTCTCAATGACTGCAATAAAGTCCTTAGTTTGGAAAAAGACAATTTGAAAGCACTTCTGAGAAAAGCACAGGCTCTGGAAAAGATGCTGAACTTCAAAGAAGCCTTGGAGTGTGCAGAAACTATCATAAAAAATGATCCTAATAACACTAAGGCTCAGGAATTAGCAAGTAGAGTTAGAGAGAATTGTTATAGACAGGTTAATAATACAAGGATGAAGATTGTAGAATTAGATTAAGTACCATTATGTAGATAAAGATTTGACAAGTAGTTTTTTCCTTCTTGAAGTCCCTGCTTTGCAATTTTCAATTGTTTTTCAGTGTTGAATGTCTGATATATTCCTGATTCAGAAAGTTTTTAGGTATAGGTACTTTTCATGCATTCTCAATGAAATGATGAAAAATTGCAGATAATTCCAAACAAGACAATCAATTATTTACAAATTTTATTGACTTGTATAAATTACTGTTCCTTAACTTCCCTAAGACGTCTCACTGCTGACCTTACTGAAGCTGCAGCTGTGGTAGAGTATACCCAAGCTCCTCCTGCTACAACACGTTTGCAGCGTTTGCATGACCAAATACCAACACAACTTCTCTTCATGGCATCCTACAAACAATGTTTTTCAGAGTATGAATAAAAAAATCCTGTAAATTTAGAAAAGCAATGTTGACCCTATCACTATTCATCTCACACTGTTTGAAAGATTGTTGTTGAGATATTGTTGCTATTATAAATGAACAATGCATTTTTTAAATTATATAGTGTAAAGGTGGATTTATGCAGCAACATTTAACAATTATCAAGTAACATTTATCATTTAACAAGTAGCAATCAAAAGTTCAACTTCCTGTTTTCAATGAGGGTGTTTATGCAGACATTTAACAATTATCAATTAACAAGTAACAAGTTAAGAAGTTGGCCAACTTTTAACTTTCTTACTTTAATTGAACCAGGTTTTCTTCTAGTGCACAACTGGTACGCAGATGACCGCGGATTGGTTTAATCGACTGATAGAGAAAGCATGAGATTGGTCAGATCTTGAGCCTGACAGATTGGGATTGGTTTAATCGACTGATAGAGAAAGCATGAGATTGGTCAGATCTTGAGCCTGACAGATTGTCATCAGATGATGGAAATTAACCTAAAATAAAATATTTTGTTTCTGTTCTTTTGTAGTGAGATAGTGGACATTGTTTTGTTCAAAATTTGAGCCACTTCTGTAAATTCAAAATTGTTAACAACAAATTGGAAAGGTTATGTTTATGATTTTATTTGGAGCATGTGCGCTTGCGTACTTTTTATTCATAAATTGTTAATTTGGTATGCATAAATGTCAATATTCCCATCACTTGTTCATTGATAATTGTTAATTAATCATTCCAGAATTACGTCATTTGACAGGTTGCTGAGGGGCAAACATTGTAGTTTGTCAAGATTTGTCATACAAAACCAGAATTAGTGGGATCGTTTTCCTTGGAATCCGAGTTGGAACCATTGTGGATGTGACAGGGACGGTCAGAGCAATGCTCATTAAAGGTAACCTAACAGATAGTTTGTGTGCCCCTCAAGAAATCATGTCAAAATCACGTGTTCTAGAATGATCAATTGATAAATGTTACTTGATAATTGTTAAATGTTGCTGCATAAATCCACCTTAATGATAGACTAGTGTTTATGGAGGTGTTTACATACCTTTCCACAAAAACTGCAAGAATATTTGCTGTGTTGGGTGATTTCCATCTTTTTAACCATTTTACGGAGGGAAGCACCGTACCTGGTACCATATTTACCAGTAATTCCAACCTTCTTGGTACGTTTGGCCTAAAAAATAAAAAAATAAGGCCTTCAAAATACAAAATACATAACCTATAAAATAACAACTTATCATATTAAAGGTGAAAAATAGGTACGTCAGAAATATATTTCAATAAAGTGGACTGCAACGTGAATTCATAAGTGAAAAATATTGCATGATGACTAGAGTTTTGGCGAATTTAAAATTATTTTTACTCACCATTTTTATTCACAGGCACAGCACAGAACAAAAAGTTCAAAAGAGCTTAAAACAGATTAAAACTTAAAACACGAAAAGTAGAGAATGACATAAAACGAAATGACATGTTCATTTGACACATGGCACTGGCACCCTATCCCATAAAACACAAGTTCTATGGTGTACTATTTCTATGTCAATGAACAAACGAACAAACCTCAGAAAATCCCAAAAAATTCGGAATAATGAATGATACACCTAATTATAAACATCTCAGATACACCGAATGACGGATAGAACAATTTTAGAGCAATTTAGAACAACAATCATGGTGGGTGGTTGGCCCATGGCTGGCCCAAGGAGAGTAATAAAATAACAAAGAATAGTAGGGCGTGTTTTTCATTCCATCGAATAAAGTGCGCACTGATAGATGCAGTTTTTTGTCGTGACGTCACCAATTGTTCTGTTGGAATTTATGCTGGAAGGATTGAACAATGGTTTATACAACACATTGATGGAAACACGGATTTTGTTGTGTGTCAGTCATCATGTATCTTGAGAATCAGAAGAGGCTAATTCGATTTTATTGATTAACACTTACTCTTTCTTCTGAAATCTCTCAAGAATCTCAAAAATCCTCAATATTAATTGTTCTCTATCAAATCAAAACAAAAAACAACACTAAAATGTGTCAACTGTCATGTCAATCTCCTCCAAACTGCTGGATTCTCGAAAAGCGATTTAAAAGTGCGCATTTTATTACAACAGTTTGATGGATGTCCACCAACATTCCAGCGGAATTTTGCAACAGTTTGATGGTTTCTTCGATTCATGCGCATGATAAAATGTTGGAATGAAAAACGCACCCGTAGGTTAGTCACCTAATGACCTAATAATCCTTGTGGCTGGCCGGCTGCAAGCAACCATACATTGGTCCTTGGGCTGTACACCATGGGCAAGGATTATAAACTCTTACCATAGGCTGTAGTAGCAAGAAACGTGTGATTTTATTATTGGCCAATGCTAGCTAGCCAATTCAAATCGACCAATAATAATAGCATCACCAAAGCCGAAAACGCTCAACAAAGATCCGGCTTAATAACAATGACAAATGGCAATGACGGACTGACAAAGATATGGAAATAATAAAAAAAAGGAGAAGAGTTGATGATGATGATGATGATGATGACAGATGAACTGATCAACTGATGATGATTTGATGAATGACAAAAGTAAAATGTGACGTTTTTTTTTATTTAAAATCGAGATTCCTTGTTTCCTTAGCCGAATAAATTTTCATTGCCTAATTCTAATGTATTCTCTATTTGAACAGCAGTAAGCAGTATTTGATTTAACACCTTAACACGTCAAAAATGGACTACTTAGGTGACAATGGTGCTCTTGGCCTGGGCCTCACCAGTGATCAAACAGATAAGGTATTGCAGTTTCAAGACTTAACAGGAATAGAAGATATGACAATATGCCGAGACGTTCTACAAAGGCATGAGTGGAATCTGGAAGTAGCTGTACAAGAACAGCTGAATATAAGGGAAGGTCGCCCTTCTGTTTATGCCTCTGAATCCCGACCACCAGCCGTTGTAAGTGACCACTTTGGGCAGCACATTTACTATACCCCTCCTACAGATGGATCCGGCAGTGGGATCAAGGGGCTACTCAAAACTGTATTGAGTTTTGTATGGAATATGGGTTACAGTACACTCATGACTGTTTTGCAGTTGAGTTGTAGATTTTTAGGTATGGTATGCTTCCTAAATTCAATAATTGAATCTTACAATCTTTCAATTGATTATAGGCTTAGAATATCAACCACCCACAGATCCTGTTATGGAAATTGTGGAATTTATCAGAACTTATGAGGAAAAATATTCCCCAGAACATCCAGTATTTTATCAAGGCACATTTCCACAAGTTTTGAATGATGCAAAACGTGAACTTCGTTTCTTGCTAGTTTACTTGCACAATAGTAATGCCATTGATACAGAAAAGTTCTGTAGAGACACATTGTCAAATCCAGATGTGGTACGTTATGTCAACCAAAATTTCCTTTTCTGGGGCTGCTCAATAAACTCCAAAGAAGGTAGCAGAACCTTGAATGCAGTTAAAGCTAACCATTATCCATTCCTTGCAGTATTGGTATTAAAGGACAATAGAATGACTATTGTAGGTAGGGAATAATTATTATCAATTGAGTGGTATTTAGTTATTCTGGTATAGTTGAATTATAAGGATTAATTTCTCAATAGGTAGGTTGGAAGGTTATTCAGATCCTGGCTTGTTTGTCCAGAGGTTGAGCTCTGTGGTAAATGAATATGAAATCAATTTGGTGTCTGCTAGAGCAGATAGATTTGAGGCCAGCATAAATAGGTCTCTGAGATCTCAGCAGGATGAAGCATTCCTTGAAAGTCTCAGAGCTGATCAGGAGAAAGAGAGGAGGAAAGAGGAGCAAAGAATGGCTCAGGAGGCAGAAAAGGCAAGATTGGAACAGGTAACTGTCAATAAAATGGCATATCATATTATGGTTAAATAATTTGAGTTGTAGTCACTTGAGTCAAATTTTTAATAGGTAGGTAATAGGTAATATAATTTTTCAGATTTTTACATCAATCAGGTTGATTTGATCAACATTTATTCTACTTCTTAATTGACTAATAGGTATAAATTCAGTTTATTCTTTTAAGATAGGTGGTAGTGGTGCTTGGTCTCATGTATTTGAGAAGCAGAGCCTTTCATACAGATTTTTGCATGTGCAGATAAGATCAATCTATATTATTGACTGTTATTGCAAATGGGTACTACTTCCCCTGTGATAAATAAATAAATAGATAAGATTATCTGCCAATATTGGGAAAGATGTAAATATTTTTTCATTAAATGAAGTACATAAAGTACATTTTTAAAAACATATTTTTTCTGTAACTTGATAGCAAAACATTTGAGATCATTTCTGAACATTCAAAAGCATTTGCAACCATTCTAGGACAACCTTGAAATGTCTTGAACATTCCTGAAATGTCTTGAAAATTTCTGAAAGATGTAGGACATTGAAAACATCCCTAAAACATTTGATAATATCTTTGAGGATTCTATAACATACTTGGGCATTCAAAAATATATCATCAAATACTGAAATTTCTAGAACACTCCCGAATTTCTATGGCATTTAAGATTCTAGAACATTCCTGAAACATATTGGAATATTCGAGGACATTTTTGTAAGCATATCTGAAATGAATAGAATAATTTTCAACAGTTGAATTCAGACCATTTCTATGTGTTATTAAATGTTGATAATTTGATTTGCTAATATCATAAACCTTTTTTCAATGGTCATAAATGTTGTAATAGTGTTTGTTTGGTAAGTAAAAGAAGCTCTTCAAAATGCAAGTGTTACAGATGAAAAATGTCATATTTCAGGGAAATTCCAATACCTCATGAACAGGTAGAAAGATCAATGCAATAAATCACAATTATCTGATGAAACCCCCTCCCCTCCTATCCAATGGAAAACTCGGAAAAAACACATCATTGGAACATCGTAGAAAGGTCGGCGACCTTTCACTTTTCTACCGATACTTCCACGGGAAATGTTCTTCGGAAATCTCTGATATCATTCCTTCACTAGTCAGACGAACTAGACAAGCCCAGTCAGCACATCCTCTCGTTGTCAACCTCGAAAGATGTCGAACAGCACTTTATCAAAACTCCTTCATCCATAGAACGGCTAGGCTCTGGAATTAATTCCAGAGCCTAGCCGAAACCATAGATTAACGACTCCCCTAGATATACACCGCCCATGCATTCAGACGGTAACGCTTGTTTGGGATTTAGTTGGGACCCCGAATTTTTACCATCTATCGCCGCTATTGCGAATTACCGCGCGTGGTCGCAAATTCGATTTTTTACAGATTTCTGTAACATGGCATTCAGCGTATAGAAGCGGAGTTGTCAAATGTTAGTTTTTGTTGGATTTCTAATATATTGGTAGGTACATGTAGATTATTATTAATCTACGATACTGCAACCACAATTATTTTTAGTATAAGACTTCCTTGGTATGTATAAGAGATTTCAATCTTTAATCTATGAATCTATGGTATTATGTTATTTTATTAGTTTTCCATTGTGCTCGAATTATGATTACTCATGATGTGTTATTGTGCCTACCTATGTGAAGCTGGAAAATTCAAGAACGTGAGTTGACAATAAATAAATGGACATGAGTGTGAGACAGTAGAAATTTTGGAAATTCAATTGATCGAGAACTCCAGGGTTTAGAAGCTGAAGATGCATTTGGATATGGGGCACTGTTTTTAGGGTAAACAGTCGATGAATTTAGATTGTTTAGAATGTTTAGATCTGTCTATATACAAGGAAGTACAAATTCGTGATAGTTACACCATTTTTAATTCAACAACGGCTGGAACAATTTTCATGATATTTGATTTTTTATTGTATTCATCTGAAATATGGGATAATAAGTTCAAAAATTCTTCAAAATTAGGAAATTCGAGATGGCGAACCCAATATGACGAGTTCTGTGATTATGATCAGATTCTATTCAAGATTGGTATCTGGGGTTTACATGGTCGGAGATTATGATTCCTTCGTCAAAAATTCTATATGGTGGATCCAATATGGCGGACGGGTTTTGTAATTTATTATCGGATTCTATTCAAAATTGGTATCTGGGAGTTTTCGAGAGTAAAGATTAATGGACGAAATTATAGAAAATTCGAGATAGTGGATTCAATATGGCGGAGAAGCTTTGTAATGAATAGTAAAGTTTTTGATAAATAGTATTCACGAAACGAGATTCAATAGATTATTTCACTTTACAAAACAGTCGTGGGACAAAATAGTTATTTTTGTATCTAGAGCGCGAAATGTCACTTTGGTGATCGAGTTCTGATTTTTTAACGAGGCGTAGCCGAGTTAAAAAATAGTCGAGATGAACAAAGTATGTCGCGCTCGAGTTGCAAACAAAATTTTTTCTACAATCGTCAAAAAATATAGTTCTAAAGTAAAAATATGCTTAGCTTGATATAAAAAATAGTGTTGAACTGGCTTAAAAAGCCTCCCCCTATCCTCCCTAGGTACGCACGATGTTCCACGAACATAAATAGGAATTTCCTTTCGTGCGCTCCAAGAGATAAAACAAAGTTATGGTTGAACATTCAGAAATAAATGATTTCGTGGATGTTCGCTCGATTGAGGACCATAAAGTTGGAATAAAAATATCTCATATATTTTACATAACAATGCGCGAAGTAGGTACTTCGCGCACTGTTTTACTTCGCGCATTGTTATGTGCAAGGTATCATGGTAACGTAGGAAACTGAAAAAATGTGTCACTTCACAATTTGTTATCAATGCGCGAACCTTGTCATTTTTTGACGTTTGTAGAAAAAATATATTTTATATATCATTCTTATGAGAGAACAATCATATCATCAAAGGCTATTCTTCAAAAATACCTATATTCCATTTTCCTATTATCTGTCCTTAAATATTTTAAAAGCTTTCATTTAACTTGCATTGTATGTTTGTATGGATGTATATGTATGTATGTTCGGGTGGAATCTTTGAACTCAATTTTGAAGTAGAAATCTTCAACCGATTGAGCTGAAATTTTGTATACACGTTCAGTTTGGATGACAATGCACGATAAGTTGTGTCACGTTATTCGAAATCCAATATGGCGGACTATCCAAGATGGCGGAACAGCTATTTTTGATATACTTTCACAATATGGGTATCAAATGAAGAGGCTCGTTGAGAGTAACTCGAAAAATAATGTGACGTCATTCTAAATTGAGTATGGCGGACCATCCAAGATGGCGGAATGGTCATTTTTAGTCTACTTCTACAATATGTGTATCAAATGAAAGGGCTAGTTGAGAGTAATTCGCAAAATGATGTGACGTTATTCTAAATCCAATATGGCGGACCATCAAAGATGGCGGAATAGCTATTTTTGATATACTTTCACAATATGGGTATCAAATGAAAAAGCTCGTTGAGAGTAACTCGAAAAATGATGTGACGTCATTCTAAATCGAATATGGCGGACCATCCAAGATGGCGGAATGGTCATTTTTAATCTACTTCTACAAAATGGGTATCAAATAAAAGGGCTCGTTGATAGTAATTCGAGAAATAATGTGACGTTATTCTAAATACAATATGGCGAACCATCCAAGATGGCGAAATAGCTATTTTCAATATACTTCTACAATATGGGTATCAAATGAAAAGGCTCGTTGAGAGTAAATCGAAAAATCCAGCTAGCGATAACCGAAAATTAAAAAATAAATTGCCAATGGTGGCATTTATATATCTATATATATTCTATTCAGATATGCAATTTGAAAAAAAAATCGAATCAGAAATGCTCGGTCAGCATATACTCTAATATAGGTCAGCAAATTATACGGCCCCTGCGTCATTGTTGAAAATATTTCAAAATCGCAATACTCCCACTGTGCACAAATCATAAATTCTTTTCCATTGGCACCAAACAGCGGTACCTATTTTTTATAAAAGGTCGTAAATCATGCGGCGAGGGTCAGAAGATGCGTGTCAAACCGCAGCGCTAATGAGTCGTCGTGAAAAAAACTTTGATACCGATAAAAAAGCGCATCCTTTTTTATTGCGATAACAATTTTTTTGATATGCCTAGAACTGGATGGCAGTAGATTTTCTATCGTTTCCACCTCGGTTTCCACAATTGTTTCTGATTCGACCGTCATTATTCCGAGGTAATCCTAATTCAAATTATAAATACGTTGATAACGTTATATTTTTCAAAATATGTAATAATTAGGTTTTCCATATGTTTCGAGAACCCAAGAAATAAGATCGTTAATTGTGAGAGCCTCACCGTAATAACATTGCCGTATATTCTTGAATTTCTATAGGTATTTTAAAGCAGTCTGAAATGATATGAAATAATGATAATTTGATATCCCACTGAAATTAAATTTCTCAACTTTTCAACCTTTTGGTCTTCCTAAATCACATTTTGCCTCAAATTCCCAATATCTCAAAGCTCATATTTTTCAGCTTTTCTGAACATGAACATCTCATTCTTATTCAAGTTTTCCAATTTTCTTCATAAGAATTAATGTTCTACTTCTCAACTTTTCAACATATCATATTTCAACTCACGCTTTTATCATATCAAGTGTTTTTGTATAACAGATTCATGATATAGGTAATATTATTGTGATGGTTATCAGACAAATATATTATAACTAGCTGTACCCTGCGCGCGTTGGTTCGCCATCAACTAAAATAAATTTAAAGGAAAGACATTACACAAATATTCAATTTATTTTGAGTCATCAAATCATCGAAATCGGTCGTGCCGTTAACGATTATATAACGGACATATAGACAAACATGAGAACATAATCACAAAACCCGTCCGCCATATTGGATGCGCCATTTCGAATTTTCTTATTTTGACGACGAAATCATTATCTCTGACCCCAAAAACCCTCAAGATACCAATTTTGAATAGAATCGGTCCATAATTACAAAACTCGTCCGCCATATTGGATTCGTCATCTTGAATTTCCTAATTTTGACGAAAGAATCATAATCTCCGACCCTGAAAACCCACAGATACCAATTTCAATTGAATCTACTCATAATTAAAAAACTCGTCTGCCATAAGGGATCCGCCATTCTGAATTTCCTAATTTTAACGACGGAATCATAATCTCCGACCCCAAAAACCCCCAGATACCAATTTTTAATAGATTCGGTCAATAAGCACAAAACTCGTCCGCCATAATGAATCCGCCATTTTGACTTTCCTAATTTTGACGAAAGAATCATAATCTCCGACCCCGAAAACCCCCAGCTACCAATTTTGAATAAAATCGGTCCATAATTATAAAACTCGTCTGCCATATTTGATTTTTTCAATTTTTGCCATATATGATTTTTTAAATTTTTTTTCTACCTATACCATCCCTGAACTATAACGGAATAAACAAAAAAAAATTATCCAAATCAGTCGAGCAGTTTACGATTTTATCGAGGACATACAGACAGACAGACAAACATTCATTTTTATAGAGAAGATGCAGAATAATTATTTTTATTCTGATCTGATTTTTTATCCAAGAATGGTAATAAGAGCGTATGCCACATTCTGGCAACGCTGTCACGAATAGCCGGTTTCGAGGGTGCACGGCGCTATAAATAGACCACAGACTGTCTGGACCTCGGATGAATTATTCGCACCAAGGATACTGGAGACATCTGTGTATGTTCTGTTTCACTAATTTCAGTGTTGACCAAATCCCCATTCACGGTGTATATCTAGGGGAGTCGTTAATCTATGCCGAAACTATTCATTATCGATCAAAACGGCTTATATGTCCCTATCTTGACTTTTGATTCACTATCTACTGGGATTTAATTGGAAAAAAATCCAGGGTGCTTCGAAATTCACCTATGGTTTTCTATATATTGATCGATGCAGTTCCCGGAGGGACACCCTGTATACTACTTTCCCAAACTGAAGGGTTAGTTACCTGTGATCAGGTACGATAAACCTTCATTTTCGGAAATTAGGCACAATATCTACATTAAAATACAGTGTACCGGATTAACTTGAAAGGGTTAATAGCAAATACATATTATTACCTACTAAGAAAACAAATTCAACAGTGGTGGTGTTAATGCCCCGCTTTTTTTATTTTTCTAAGAAGAAATCTTTTTTTTTTTTTTTCCTAATATTTTTTCTTCAAATATTGGAGACCTGCATTTTTGTTTATTTGATTGATTCAAATATTCACTATAATATAAGATATACATATGGGTAATTTCGTTTAATATAATTGATAGTGCTGTTCTTAAACTCATGCCTGTCAAAATTTCCCGGGCGGGCTTATCGAGAAGAGCCAATAAATCGCCAGTATCGCTCTGTACTCCTGCAAACACAGGTGCTCGCGTGCCGTTTCGCGAAAATACGCAAATATCTCTCACCCTGTGTACTACAGAGATTTATCAAATATCCACTGACTCATCAGATCCCTCAGTGATACAGTCCACGAAAATCTCGCGGATAGGTGGTTGCAACCCCGTCAAACGTTCGAGCGAGGACGAGGAAGGATTCCAGGTAAGTCCTCCTTCTGGGCTATTTTGACAGTTTTTTTTGTTCATAACAATTGCAATTCATACTTCATCCGAAATGTAACAGGTGGTGAACTATCGTTAAGTGAAATGTCAGAATTTTTGAGTTTATTGATTTCTAATGATTCAAAACGATGAGTTTTATTCCTTCATTTTCTACGTGTAGAATTTCGAAATTATCATCAAAACTATGGTTTTCTTTCTAATATGTGGTGGTTGGCGTATGTTGAATTTGTTTTCTTTTTCAAAAAATTCATCTTATGATCATGAAAGCGTTGATTAAACGTACTACCTGTCTGACCGATATATACCTTAGGACAAGATCCACAGTTGAGTTTGTATACCCCTGATTTTTCGAATTTAAAAGTTTTGTCTTTATTATTTTTGATAAACCTTCCCAATGTGTTATTTGTTCTATATGCTACTTTTAAGTCCTGTTTAGGTAGAAATGACGCTAATTTTTCAGTTGATGGTCCGAAATAATTTTGCTTATTATTCTTGATGGTAGCATAAACTTCTTGGATAGCTTAATTATGGAGTTTTTTAGAAATTGATCTTGTACTATATTGGTCAGACAGGTCGTACGTTCAATCAACGCATTCATGAACATAAGATGCATTTTTCGAAAAAGAAAACAAATTCAACAAACGCCAACTATAGTTTTGATGATGAATTCGAAGTTCTACAAGTAGAAAATGAAGGAATAAAACTTAATCATTTTGAATCATTAGAAATCAACTAGACCTCAATGTATTTGCTATCAACCCTTTCAACTTAATTCGGTACACCGTATTTTAATGTAGATATTGTGCCTTATTTCCGAAAATGAAGGTTTATTGAACCTGTCCACAAGAAACTATTCCTTCAGGTTGGGAAAGTTGTATATAAAAGTTGAGCAAGCCAAGGTTAGCTCATTGTACCAGCATATCACCTGATGAAGCTACTGTGTTAGCGAAACATGTCGTGTGTCTGAGAATTTGTGGAATCTTAGTGAAGTTTTTACATTTGTCATGGATTTCCTGTCCGGAAATTCCACAGGAATGGATAGTTTGGCTGAAAACGAATGTATTCAGTACTTTAGGAAATAAGGTGTAGAAAAGGAGGATGCTCATTTGTCACCTTCTTTTACCATAGGAAGCAAGGGAGGAAGAAGAACGCAGACAGAGCATTGCTCAAGAAAAAATGGACGCTGTCTACCGAGTCCCAGACGAACCAGAGGCATCCCATCCTGATGCAGTACATGTGGTTTTCAAGCTGCCCTGCGGCAGTCGACTGGAAAGAAGGTTTCTCAAGACACATTCCCTAGAGGTGAGCATTCTCATTCACTATATCATTTAGGTGATGCTAAGACATCGAGAACCATCTCATACAAAATCATGACAAAAATGAATGCATTTCTACCAAAGGGCAGAATTAGCTTTTGTCTGATCCCTAAATGAACAGACAAGTGCTTTCTTCTTCAAATCGAGAATTCAATATGGCGGACGAGTTTTGTAATCCGCTTGTATTCAAAATTGGTATCTGGGGATATTCGGGGTCGGAAATTATGAATTATTCGTAAAAAATAGGAAATCCAAAAAGGCGGATTCAATATGGCGGACGAGTTTTGTAATCCGATTGTATTCAAAATTGGTATCTGGGGATATTCGAGGTCGGAGATTATGATTTATTAGTCAAAATCAGTAAATTGAAAATGGCGGATCCAATATGGCGGACGAGTTTTTTAATTTTGGACCGATTTTAATCAAAATTGGTATCTGGGAGTTTTCGTAGTCGGAGATTATGATTCTTTCGTCAAAATTTGGGAATTGAAGATGGCGGATCCAATATGGCAAACGAGTATTTTAATTTTTATCAGATTCCATTCAAAATTTGGATCTGGGGGTTTTTGGGGTGGGAGATTATGATTCTTCCATCAGATATTTCACTCAGTGTTTCCATATTTTCATTATGAATTCAGAGGGGGTAAGTAATTCAAGTCATTCACCACTGAAATATTGTATTGTGAAGTCCTAGCACCTCCAATAAACGACTGGTAAAAAAAGTGAAATCTTCAAGACATGTAATTGATAAAATACTGAATTTGATCTAACTGTTGGATTTGCATTTACAATAATTCGCCTTGTGCCTATATTGTTGTTGGGAAATAGAGCTAGTCTACGCACAGGCCTTGCCTTCTGTAGACTTACAATTCAATCACCTCTAATTTTTTAACTTTGTGCATACTTTGTGTTGAATATTGTATGCAGGTATCCTGTTGTTATCTTTTCCACCATGCATGAACTGTATTTGTTTATTAGATGTATATGTGAATAAATTATTATTATTATTATTATATTATTACTAGCTGACCCGGCAAACGTTGTTTTGCCATAACATTATTTCTAGACGAAACATTTTTACATAATTATTCAGAAAAAACTTTCATTATTTTATTTATACTTTTTTTTGTTGGGCTATCCATGAAAACGGGATTCTTTATTTTTCCATAGATCTGAATATGGTTTTTCAAACTATTCTACTTATTCTCTACTTCTTTTTAGTTCGGCACTCTATATCTCTTCATTTTTCCATGTATTTACTACTCACTTCTTTTTTGTTTGGCTATCAATAAAAACGTGTTTCATTTGTTTTTCAAACTACTATTTATTACAATAGATGATACCTGGCACACGTTGTTTTGCTATATGTATACATTTTCTTCTAGAAAATATTTTTTTAAATATTCATCAACACACTTTTATTATATTGTTCTGAACTTCTTTTCAGTTTGGATATCCATGAAATCGTGGTTCATTAGTATCTCAAACTACTATTTTCATTTTCTATTTTTTTTTATGTCCACAATCGATCTCGTTTTTTAGGCTATACTATCAATGTTCTACTTCTATTCAGTTTGGCCTCGAGATTGGCTATCTATAAAAGCGTGTTTCATTATAGTTTTTCAAACTACTATTTATTACAAAGCTCTCTCACCATATTGGATCCGCCATTTTGAATTTCCCAACTTGAAAGAATAAAATCACAATCTCCGACCCCAAAAACCCCTAGATACAGATTTTGAATAGAATCGGATCATAATTACAAAACTCGTCCGCCATATTGGATCCTTCATCTTTAATTTTCTAATTTTGATGAAAGAATCATAATCTCCGACCCGAAAATCACCCAGATACAAATTTTGAATGGAATCGAATCATAGTTACAAAACTCGTCCGCCATATTGGATCCGCCATCTTGGATTTCCAAATTTTGACAATAGAATCATTGTCTCGGACCCCGAAAATCACCCGATACCAATTTTGAATAGAATCTGACCATAATTACAAAACTCGTCCGCCATATTGGATCCGCCATTTTGAATTTCCAAATTTTGACAAATGAACCATAATCATTGCAATCATAATGCATTGATTTGTAAAAAAATGTATTTTTTTGCACTCACTGTATTGAGAAATAAATCTATCTATCTATCTATCTAATCTCCGATCCCGAAAACCCTCAGATACCAATTTTGAATATAATTGAATCACAATTACAAAACTCGTCCGTCATATTAGATCCGCCATTTTGAATTTCCTAATTTCGATAAAAAATCATAATCTCTGACCTCGAAAACCCTCAGATACCAATTTTGAATGGAATCTGACCATAATTACAAAACTCGTCCGCCATATTGGATCTGCCATTCTGAATTTCCTAAATTTGATGGAGAAATCATAATCTCCGACCTTGAAAACCCCCAGATACCAATTTTGAATGGAATCTGACCATAATTACAAAATTCGTCTGCCATATTGGATCCGCCATCTCGAATTTCCAAAATTTGACGGAAGATTCATAATCTCCGACCCCGAAAACCCCCAAATACTAATTTTGAATGAAATCGGATAACAATACTCGTCCGGCATATTGGATCCGCCATCTTGAATTTTCGATTTAAAAAATAGATTACGACTGATTCTCATACCTACCGAATACGCACAAAAAATTTTATACGAATCCGTCGAGCCGTTTCGGAAGAGTTCGACCACTAACACCGTGACCGGGACAGGAGAATTTTATATATTAGATTATCTATTCGTGTTTTCTCCTTCTTTGCCTACCATTGTAGCGGCTGGACTCTACCTTATCAAGCTACAATTTCTAACTTGATACTAATGTTTGCTTTTCAGGCTGTTTTCTATTTCGTATTCTGCCACCCCAAAGCGCCCGACTCCTTCGAAATAACCACGAACTTCCCCAAGAGAGTTCTGCTCTGTCGGCCGGACAGCGCTGAATTCATCCAGACTCTGGCCGATGCCGGTCTGAAAAACAGGGAAGTGCTCTTCGTCAACGATTTGGACGCGTGAGTCGATTTATGTCAGATGTTTAATTTAAGACAATACACTATAAGATGTGGTACTGTTGTTGGATTGATTTTTTTTTCATGACGGAAACAGGGTCGTCAAATCGAGAGGTATGGGCGATTTGAATAATGCCGCGAACCGTATCCTGTAGATCTTTTGTTCCGAGCACCCTGTATTTTCTGATGTCGCGGAAAAAATCATTTCAAATTTATCCCTTAAATTTTGCGATCGGTTCAAAACTAACTGAGCTAGAGGGGGGGACATTTATGGTGAATCACCCTGTACTTCCAAGTTATCATATACTTACTATTTTCGACAATTTGAAACCTTTCTTGATCGATTCTAACAATCAAACATGTCTTGAAAAGCATTTGAATCCACATAACTTCGCCATACTCGCTCGAGTGTACAGGGTGGGCCAAATCGGACACTTTTGAAGGAAAAGTCCTTTTCTCGGACCAGATGGAAGAAAATTGATGTTGGTGCCTGAGGGTCGATTCTCATGAAAAACTCAATGGTGAAATCCGCATATCGATATCTGTCTTCGTTTCGGAGTTACAAGGTGTTTTTCGAAAATGGGCATTTTTGAAAAGTAGCTAGATATTTTTTTTGTCAAAAATTTGTCAGTTCTTATGAAAGCATTGAGTTTGTGATACAAATTGTTCTAGAGACACTGAAATCGGCCTTCCTATATATAGTTTGAGAATATAACTTGATCTTCTTGCAAGAAAAGTTCTTTTTTCTGTGACGGGAAAAAAGTTTGGCATTTCATCTCTGTTGGCAGGTTATAAAATGTCACTTTTCACAAATTACTTTTTTCCCGTGGGAAAAAAGTGAGTACTTTTTCCCGGATATACAGGGTGGGCCACCAGTAACGCCTCGGTCTCTAGAAGGCTAACCACTTATCTTCTTGGAATTCTTCCTCTCTAGGAAGTTGCATGTCAACATAGGCTACCATTTGAAATTATTTCGAAACATACATGGTGTCCCCAAAAACCATAAAACACTGACATTGAACTTTTTTCTATCGGACACCCTATATATTATTTCATTTTGAGATTCTCCCTGATGAGCTGATTTCAACGACCCATCATCCTTGGGGTCTAGCAGTTATAATTACTGAAATATAGGGTGTGAAAAATCGAGATTTCCCAAGTTCAAGAATTTTTTGTGTCGAAACTATTCATAATTGGTCAAAACGTCTTACATGTCCCTATCTCAACTTTTGATTAACTATCTACTGATATTTAATTGGGACATATACCGGGTGATTAAGATTCTGAATTCTGCACCACCCTGTATTTGTTTCAATCAAATGTCAGTAGATAGTTGATCAAAAGTTGAGATAGGGACATGTGAGCCGTTTTGACCAATTATTTCTCACACCCTATATCTCAGTAATTATAACTGCTAGATCCCAAGTATGATGGATTGTTGAAATCAGCTCACCAGGGAGAATCTCAAAATGAAATAATATATAGGGTGTTCGATTGAAAAAAGTTCAACTTCAGTGTTTTGTGATTTTTGGGGACATCCTGTATGTTTCAAAATAATTTCAAATGGTAGCCTATGTTGACATGCAACTTCCTAGAGAGGAAGAATTCCAAGAAGATAAGTGGTTAGCCTTCTAGAGACCGAGGCGTTACTGGTGGCCCACCCTGTATTACTGAACAACCACTAAATTCGCAATTTTTTTATATCAAATCACAGAATTAGACTGACAGAAGTGACATCAGATATTTAATTACTTCAAAAGAATGATAAAGATGCCGACAACGCAGGTGTCCCTACTGTTAAAAACTTGAAATTTCACGTCGATAAGTTTCAGATCCCAAAATAATGTAATATCTTCTCAATATTGATTCGTCCTTTCTTCTGTCACAGAAAAAATAGTGTATTATACACGGGAAAAATATTAGATTTTAGCTCACGGTTTTTTGTCCCACCGCTACGCGGAGACAACACAACCTGGAGCTAAAATCTACTACTTTTTTCCCTTGTATAATAAATAACTATTTTTGCAACTAGGTATATGGTGACTGATTTCAGTGCCTGAGGATCAATTTTCATGATAAACACAATGCTTTGAAAATGTTTTCATGAAAAAGAAGAATTAAAAAAAAGAGTTTCAACCACTTTTCAAAAATTCCCATTTTTAAAAACACCTTGTAACACTGAAATAAAGATATATACTTTCCAATTAAAAGTTCCCAATTTTGTCCACCCTGTACATCAATAGCTATAATGATGAAGAACTTTGAACAATCTTGTGGTTACACGTGAATTAGAAAATACTACAGGAATAATATATGTTTCACCTTTCATTTTTTCGTATCCGGCAATAGTTTTTTATTGTGACTGGTCTCGTAGCCCGCCATTCAAATCAAATATATTGTTGGTAAATTGATTTTTTTCCTGTATAGCTGTTTCCAACAGTTTAATTCTAATTTGATCACGAAACATCTGCATTTGTTGCAAAAAAACGACTTATGTGGTGTAAAATAACAGTAGTTTCGAGGACGAATTTTTGAAAGATATTTTGACAGAAATATTTTTCCATAACAGTTTCTGGAAAGCACTGTATTCTTTTAATACCATCTTTCTAGCATGTGATACAAATGGTGTGAAACTGCATTTCCATTAATCAATCTTTGAAATCAATTAAGAGAAGATGATTTAAAATTAAATATTAGATCGTTATTCATAGCATTTATATATTGCACTTTGTGATTTTTGTAATTTTTCCTACGTTTTGGTATGTGAGGAATATTGTATTTTTGAAAAAAATATGTTTCATTTCCACATGTAAATATGTAAAAATAAATGATTTTGTTGCTATCATCGTGTTATTTGACCAATCAGTTTTACCCTACTCAAATTATTATTTTTTTCATCTCTTGGATCGCACGAAAAGAAATTCCTATAATGTTTCAAGAACATCGTGCATAACTAGGGAGGATAGGGGAGAGGTAATAGGATTCACATAAGAACCGACATAGAGCAGGGGCATGTAGGGGGTCCCAAAATATGGCAATTTAACGCAACTTACCTCTATACCAAGTTGCTTCCCTAAAGAGTTATAGGGGGTATACCGGGTGGCGCACCATTAATATTCAACAGAATTTTGTTAACCCTTGATGGATTTCAAAAATCTCTGCTTTGTTTTGTGGGCAATTCAATTCTGAAACTTTTTCTAGTCAAGTAATTTCTCGAAAAACCTCATCATTTTCATCAAAAACTCGAATAACTGAAAACGCGTGCTCTAGGTGTGTCCATACACATAGACAAACTATCTAGCAAACTCGCGAGCATTATATTGCTCTTAAAAAATTTAACTAGCATGATAGACAAAGAACACATAGTCATGGCCTATCATGCTCTATTCCACAGTATAATGTCATATGGCATACTACTGTGGGGTAATTCATCACATGCTAATCAAATACTATTACTGCAAAAACGAGCCGTGCGTGTCATATCAAAATCAAATTATAGAGAACCTTGCAGACCCTTGTTCAAGGAGCTTCGTATTTTAACCACTACAAATAAATATATTCTGGAAGCTCTAAAATTTGCAAAAGAGAATCAATCATCATTATTTAGACAAGACAGGTACGAAACAAGACACAGACCCTACCAAATGCCGCTTTTTAGACTCGACAAAAATTCAAAATCCTACAAATACCAGTCCCTCAAATGTTTCAACAGTCTGCCAGAAGAATGGAGAGAATTAAATTTGGAAAAGTTTACAAATCATTGTAAACATTTTCTGACAGAAAATGTGTTCTATGATATGGAAGAATTTTATAAACATTTCAATGTATGCTTTTAAGAATAATTTATGTATTATCAGTGATTGTATATATTGTTTGATTTTACTTTTTATTGATATGTGTATTGTATGTTGTATTGTATATTGTGCCTGACGAATGTATATAATTGTTAATTCCAGTTTTTCACATTTCAGTATCTGTCCTTACTTTACGTATTTTGTTACGTATCTAAATAATAATTGCCAACCAATTTCTACTGATCACAATTAATGACCTACTTTCTTGTTGTATGTTCATTTTCATAGCCAACTTTTGAATTTTCGATGATTTTAAATAACACACCTAGAGCGCGCGTTTTCAGTTATTCGAGTTTTCGATGAAAATGCTGAGGTTTTTCGAAAAATTACTGGACTAAGAAAAGTTTTAGAATCGAATTGCCCACACAACAAAGCAATATTTTTGAAATCCATCGAGGGTTAACAAAATTCTGTTGAATATTATTGGTGCGCCACCCGGTATACCACCTTTACAAATTTCAATTGAGCTCTAGTTACTGTCAAGTAACGCCCTGAATACATCCACAAAGTGTGCCAACTTTGGTTGCTTAAGTTCAAGAATAACGGAGATATTGATTTTTTTCAAAATTTATAACTCCACTTACAAAGCCTGTAACTCCTTAGGGGAGTAACTTGGTATAGAGGTAAGTTGCGTTAAATTGCCATATTTTTGGACCTCCTACATGCCCCTGCTCTATGTCGGTTCTTATGTGAATCACCCAGTACATACAGTGTTTTTCACTTTTAATGGAAACACCCCTGTATCTTATGTAATCGTTGGGTAAGGATCCTGAAATTTGCTGTAGCGAGAGATATACCAAAAATGCACTCTATGACCAAGTGGGGACATCTTCAGTGATTTACACTGCTCGCCAACAGCCATGGAACCATCTCAATTTCCGAAAAATGATAAGTATTAGGAGTCAAAATAGGTTGAAAATCACTTCCCTGAAATTTTTTCAGTTCTGAAATAGTATATTACACACCGAGGTGGGAAGTTATTCATTCCTGTCGTGAGATTAGTTAGTTAACCGAGACGCAAAGCGTCGAAGTTAGCTAATAATTGAAAAAAAGTTGTCTTTCTATTCAGAATCAAATAGTAGTCTATTTTCGTCAAAATGTGAATTGAAACTCCCTATAGCAGAAAACCTGTCCATTTTTTAGGATTATCACC